CCCCCCCCCCAAACAAAACGTCCACCCCTCCAAAAAAATTTTCAACCTCCCCCCCAATATTTGGCATAATAAATAAATAATTAAATAGTCCACTCCAATGTGCAGAGTGTTGATGATACAAAATAAACGTGGGAGTACACTCGAACAGAAAAAGTGCAACAGGTTGGAGAAATTGTAAAGTTTTGAAACTCTATTATCTCCCCTGAATAGAGTTTACAGTGCCTTGTCATGCGAATAGCTTGCACGCAAGGAACGTTTGGAATTTTTGCGAACATTATTTTTAGTTTTTAATTCTTTTAGGAAGTAGACTTGCCTAGATTTAATCTTTACGCCCCAAATATTATTTACATCGGAGTTGCATCATAAATTGTACTCGAATTCAAACAATACAATGTCAATGACTTTATAAAGGTAAAAGCATATTTTCTATTGGCCTATTGGGTTTACACTTTTATAGGTTCATTTAACTTTAAGTCTTTAACTCTCTCAAGTCTCAACAGACAATCGGACATGCCAAATCCATTGATATGACAAATTGACAACTTCAAAAAACTTTTTTTTTCGAAGCTAGAAATCATGATTTTTTTTCAAATTTTTCCTGGGATACTTTGTTTTCTGCTCTCTAGACTCACCCTCGCGGCTCTAGTGCTCCTTACTGGGGTTTGGTGACACTTTGTGTTGCTTCAGTCACCTGCTCACGGCTCACCCCCCTAAAATTTCTGGCACCACCCCAGTAAAAAATATGAAAATCCGTCTATGAGAGAAAGTTTTGAAGAAATTTTCATACAATTTCCACAATTACGAGAAAAACTTTGCCTTAAAACTTTGAAAAATATACCACAAGGAAGTCCTTTATTTAGTCACATTCCTGCACCGAGAGACACCTGTTACGATTGCAACCTAAGAAATTCTAATGCATTAACTACGATCAAATGCAGAACAGAACGGTACCGCCGCAGCTTCTTTCCGAGCACTGTGGTTATTTTTAATGACAGTAGCAACATTTAAATACAGATTTTATATAAGTACAAAGTAACGTTTTAATATATTTACTGTAGTTATAAATAACTCTTTAACCCTTATTATTGTTAATATAGTAATTAAATATTTATTTGTAAATTCACCGCAATTCAAATTTATGCGATGGTGAATATTCTTAAACATGAATAATAATAATAATTATTAATGAATATAGTATAGGTAATAGGATGCTTTCGAGTGCAATTTGGATAAAACATGCACGAGTGAGCTTTTCAAAGAACATCAAAATAGGTCTTTGAAAAACTGACGAGTGCTCGTTTTATCCAAATTTCACGAGCAACCATCCTATTACGTATTAATAATATATACAAAAATGTTGGAGACAATTACAGTTTAACTTACGTTTATAGCGAACCGTCCACTGACAGAGTTTTCCTGCTTTGTTATATCACATTATACAACGCTATAACGGCTTGAAAATTTCACTCAAATATGTTAGTCTTGTTTGAGATTAACTGCACTGAAATCAACCAATCACAGTAGAGGGGAATGTTTTTGTGTTTTTTATTATGCACAGTATGGAATGTTCATTTTCGCTATCCAATAGGCACGCGTTTCAGGAGATCTACCGTTACCCAACGGATTTTTATACAATTTCTATCAAATTTTTGTCGAAGTACTAGTTAGCCAGATATATGAAGATTAACATAGCGTAATGAAATATACGAGAACAAATTTAATTTCCAGAACATTGCTACCAGACAGTTTAATTTTGTGGTACCTTCTCGAGGATTTTTCAAAAATGGGTGTTGTTGCTCTATAGAGGTTACTCAGCTAAGGTGTAGTCTTTCCCGACTTGTGTTATATTGTTATAACCAATGCACAACAAGAGGCTTGTAACTTTACAACTAAAAGCCTGTAAATCTCGCGCGAACACCTTTTCGTAGCCAAGACTTTTTAACTTTCTGTCTGTAATATTTGCTGTCCCAATAAAGACAATAATACTATAACATTTCCTATTACAGGTTACGTTGAACAATCGAAATATTCTCATCATTGGTGGCTGTGGACATGCAAATATGGTATGCCATCAAATTTTTTGTACTTATCAGGGCTTTCAAAAGAAGCCGGCGACGCAATTTTCCGTTTCGTAAACCGCCAGAGTGAGCAGTAACAATCAGTGTCACCACTTTCAGCGTGCGTGACATTCGGCGAATATGAAATGTGATACTCACCACGCAAAACACGCGTTGAAACGCACGTGTTGTGCTAGCATCTGTAGTAATTTTGTATCGAGTATCGTTTGCTCGGTGTCTTATTAAATTTCGTCTTCAAATATTGTTGACATCTTGAAATTCTGAAATTTATCTAAACTTTCGGCTGATACAGTAGGTCCCGTGTATAGTGGCACGTAACTTGAAATTACGTTTGTCTGACGCGCAGAAATTTTTATTCCAGTCTTCGCAGTTTTCCAGCAACCTTTCTAATGCCTTTACGTGAAGATCTTCTTTCCCTACTTCAGATAACGCATTTTTAAAGCTGGCGACAGTCTATATCATTGACAGCCGTATTGAAAGCTCGTCAAATATATATATATATAAAGAAAGCCCAGTAAACTTGTAAGGCCGTAAATGTCATTATCATTTCTCTTTTCTTATCGCATCGAAGGTAGAAGAAACGTGAGCGATGACATACCGTAATTATCGTTGCGATACATACATACACATTTTATTTAGCGACGCTAACCCCGACAACTACAATGACTATCGTATCGACTATGTGTACAAAGCTTTTTTAAGTTTCTAGACGATAACGGCGATATGATTTTTAAGTCACTTGTGTTGTTTGTGTCGTTTTTAACACGTTGGAACGCGCTCTTAAACGCGTGTTTTGCGTGGTGTATATCTCATTTCATATTCACCGGATGTGATGCACAGGGAAAGTAGTGACACTGACTGTTACTGGTGACCATGTCGGTTTACGAAACGGAAAATTGCGTCGGCGACCGCCGGAGCTCTGGTGGTTGTTATGAAGTTCACTGCGAGCTATTGTCTTTAAACTATACCTTAAATACAGCCTAGACCTAGGCCTTTACTCGGCTGGCTTTGGAAGGTATCTTTGGCAGGTTTGGTCAATTTCCAACTAGCATTTGGTAATTATCGCAATGGTCATTTGCCTCGTAAAGGCCTAGTAGATTTCACAAGTTCTCAAATTAGCCCATGCATAACTTCTTGATCCGAAATTGATCAGAAACCAACAACTAAAGCAATTTATACTGCCCAGTATAGTTATTACATTAACTATAAAAACATTTATGACTAAACTAACCTATTATTAGTTTATAAATGTCGCGTTAAATTGTATTAAACATCTTTAAAGGCCTTTAAAGTTCCAACAATTTTGTACATGCACTGATTTATACTCGAAATAATTCTTTTATTCACTTACACTCTACTGTTTTGCTTTGAATAACTATACTATTTGCGGATCGGGAATGAGGATTTTAAAATTATTGTTCAAGTATTATGGATATACCATTTGTAAACAATATACGTTTTATACAGTACTGTACGGGCTAATGATATATGTTTCCGCTTTATTTAATAAATTATAATTGTACAGGGTGTCTCAAAAAAACCCAAAATCATTGAAATAACGTATTGTTCGAATTTCAATGCCGTAACACAAAGGATTTTGACAGGGTGATTAATTTGTTTTAAAAAATTAAAATATCTTTGTAAAGTGAACATTTGTTTGCTCATGGGAATTTAAAAATGCTTCGTAAATTGTAATATGCGTAATATGCATTCGTGGGTTTAGTACTTTATGCCTGACATAACAAGTTTACGCTGAGTATTACCATTCATTATAGCAGTTATGTCAATCTTTTATGCACTCGTGGGATTAACTTAGTGCTAGGGCATTGAATATCGAACAATACGTCAATTTCAATGATTTTGGGTTTTTTTGAGACACCCTGTATATGTGTTTGTATATTTTACAAACACAAGTCAAGACTGCTTCTTGCCAAAATTGAGAAAATATATATTAATGTAGTTGTGTATAAGACAAAATTTCATGAAAGATTCTACTTTTGGTATATACAGGGTGTATCAAAAATCAAAGGTAATCGAACTTCAGCGCGATATTGCACGTGAATTACTCGGCGTATATGAACAATTGGTTTTCATATTCGGAAAGATCAGGCTTTTAGCTATTGAATGGCATGCTTTTCATGCCAAGTGGAGAACAAATATGCATGTACGAGGCCGATTAAAAATGTTAGTCAAAATCGCATATTTTCACCTTTGTGCCTAATTAAAACAATGCATAACAAAAGAAAAAGCAATTAATCACGAACGTGTCGTAGCTTAGCTAAGATTTATTCCTACTTAATAATAATTATGAATACATATTGAAGTGAAATTCATCAACTTAAGTACCAAAGGGGGTTTTAGACCCAACTCTCAACGGTGAAAATATGCGATTCTGACTAACATTTCTTATCGGATTCTATTTGCTCATTTTGTATCCATTTGGCATGAAGAAGATATCATTCAACAGCTAAAAGCATGCTCTTTCCGAATGTGAAAAATCTCGTTCATACGCAGAGTAATTCAGATACAATAGCGCGCTGAAGTTCGATTACTTTTTTTTATACACTCTGTATATTTTGACTCATTTTGTGCTTTCGCTACACTTTGTCAACATAATAATAGTGTTGCTTCAAACTTTATGATAAAAACCCCGATTTTCTAGACGTGTATACAAATAAAAATAGTAAGTTTATACTATAAATGAGTTTATTTTACCTGTATCGGTTTAAATTCGCTGTTTATAAGTTGCAAATAATTCTGTTTGAGAACGCAATAATTGGGCATTTCGCAACCAGGGCAGTTTCAGGGCAGTTTTGGCCTTGTTGTTGGGAAATCCACTAGGCCTTCTATTTTTTCGCTTGCGTCCTTCCTCCGCCCGCCCCCAAATCACCTAGTCCCAGTCTTTTCATGTGAAAAATTGCTGAATATTAAAAAAAAAATAAAAAATAGAAGGCCTAGGTCTAGGCTGCCTTAAATATATAAAAAATTGGAGTTTTCAACAATGTTTGAAGTATTATTTAAAGAAAGAGCAGCAATGGTTTATCAGGTTTAGGGCAAGTTGTGTGGATTGCTAAACTACAGTAACTATCAAAATATTGCCATACGCATGAGTGTGTGAATGCGGTAGTTGTTTATACAAGGCGTATAGAAGAAAAACTGCACAGTTCGAAAATGTCCGCTCAACTGCAAATTCCGCAAAATTTGTGAAAACTTTATGCAAGCATGGGTAGTTTGGGATCTGCTAGTATCTTTACCACTAAAATCTTTTTGAAAAGTATATTTTCGAGTGTAGGAGGGTTGTTTAGTTAAAAAAAAACACTTCAAAAGTGGCTTGCACACAACTTAAAACGCAATTTGGATTGCAGGGTGCAAATTTAGAACTTTCAAAGCCCTACGCGCGACCTCCACACTCACAACTTGTTGACAAATTGTTGAATTGCAGGACGATAACAAGTTGTTGGAACAACTTGTAACAAGTCTCAGCTCAACAACCTTGTAGCAAGTTGTTAACAAGCTATTGCCAACTTGCCAACAAGCTGGGAACAAGCAGTGCGAACACATCCTGTTGACAAGTTGTTGGAACAGCATTGCTACAAGTCTGCTGCAGGTTTGTTACAACTTGTGCGTTTTTACGTATGTAGTAGCCTTCCGCGCATAATTTATCCCACGTATGAAGCATGACTGATTTTATGCATGACTAATTTCTTACGTATTCTTTACAAAAAGTTAAAAAATTATGCTTGACAGGCTACTATGACAAAAAGTCCGAGTTTTAGTGTTTGTACAACGGTCCCACAGATTATACACCCTGTGTAATAAAAAGTCATTCTACTGAGTCTCGTCGTGTATGGTTAATAGAGAGTTTACGATCTATGACGCTACCGGTTCAACGACGCGATCTGAATTTCAGCTCAAAAATGAGCGTTAAGCAATTTAATATTTTGATTACTGTAATAAATGTTTGAACCTTTTTGAAATAACCTTGAAAACGGCTAAGTTCCATTAAAGCGATGCAATGTTTGCTGTAATTTCGACTTTAAGTAACACCTCGTGGGTCGCAATAAGCTTTCACGTTGCAAGACGCGATAATGCTTAGTTTAACGTTTTGTTGAAAATGAGAAAGCCGTTGAAAATATCCCTGGGACCACAAATTGTTCACAGTTTTTGTTTTGCATGACAAACTTCTTTCTTTCGCAAGCGCGTGGTTGAGCCGGCCGCGTCGTTGATCAACTCGTTGCTACGCACCTCGTCGTCTATCAGCTAGCTTATATACGACTCGAGTTTGCACAATAACTGTTAAATATATCTTAAATATACTTACTGTAATTGCAGGTGTTTTCAGATGTGTGGTTTTTAAATGTAGAAAGTTGGACGTGGTATGAAATATCAGTAAACAACAGCATATACGCTGCACCGCAACTCTGGTCACACCCAGCAGTCATGATTGATCGAACTGTAGTAGTCTTCGCTAGCCCTGTGACGTCAACAGTCAACTCAGCAGCCGCTAGTCTTATGACTGGTGTACCGCAGGCTCTGATGAAACTGTACTCCCTCGATTGCAGTGAACTGGAAACGAGTCAGAAGTGTTCGTGGCGAGCGGTTTTGAGCAACAACAAATCAATACTGGCAAGTTCCCTTCATTCGGTAAATGTCTGTGAAGATATGATCCTTATTTTTGGAGGACTCAGTGATAAACAGACTGTTGAAACAGCGAATAACACTTTAGTGTTCGTAACACCGTTTTGGACAGATTGAATAACCGTAATTGAACAGTGTTCATATGGCAGCCGAGTTAGACGACTGGCCAAGTCATCATTTTGTACAACTGGATGGCAACTTTATGTTAGAAACTGGTAACAGGCATTTTCTTATAGTTCAATCCTTGGTGAACAAGATTATATGTGTTACCACCTCTGATTTTTGCTTTATAGCCAAAAATTTGAGAATTTTTAAATTTTGCCTATTAAATTACTATGATCGGAAAAAATGTAAAATTTCATGTTCTCTTAGACGAAAAATAAACTATACACCACTGGAAAGAGTGCAAAAAACTATATATATGATAATTAAGTGAGTTCTACGTTTTTCGAATCTTATTTCGAGTTTTTAATGCTAAAAAATGTGGAAATGACCAAATTAACGCTAATTAGTATCTGCCAACTTTAACCATCTTTAATTCAAAATTGGCTTGAGAAATCGCACTAGTCGCTTAATTGTCTTATATATATTTTTTGCGATCTTTCTAGTGGTATAGTTTATTTTTTGTATAAGAGAACATGAAATTTTACATTTTTTGCCATCATAGTAATTTAATAGGCAAAATTAAAAAATTCTCAATTTTTTGGCTATAAAGCAAAAATCAGAAGTGGTAACACACACAGTCTTGTTCACCAAGGCTTAAAGTTAAACTATAAGAAAATGCCTGTTACCAGCTTCTAACATAAAGTTGCCATCAAACTCTCTTTAGAGGCACTTTTTGCCACCTTGGCCGGCCGACTAAGTTGACCTGATAGCGATACAGCCAGGCAGAGTTTTTCATCTTGCACAGCTTGAAACGATTCAAAACTATAAATCGCACTTAAATAAAGGTTTTCCGTATTAAAAATGATATTCACAATAGATACTCAAAAGAAAAATGGGAACAAAATTTATATTTGACAAATTTGAAAGAATGTTAAGATTATTTATAGAAATCCTTTTTACAAATTCTCCCAAACTATCTTAGTTTTTGAGATTTTTGGAACCAAAGTGTCCTGCCATCTGCCATCTTGTTTTATATCGGGTTTTTACCGGTGTCACAGCGGTTTTGGACTCCCCGCGGATATGGACCCCCCGGTCCATATCAGCTAGCGGATTCCGACCCCTACGGTACATATACGCTAGCTGATATGTACCCCCTTCCGCGGAATTGGACCCCCTAAAATTCACGAAAAGAAGAAGTTTTGAAACGATTTGCAGTTGAATGTGCATGGAAATTTAGGCGTCAGTTAATTTAAATTATGATAACTAATGGCATGACTCAACTATCTTGGAATTTGCTTAATGACGAAAACAAGTATTGAGATGCTAATTTTATAAAAGTTTAGGGTTGAATGGAATGCATCACTTTGTTATGGGTATGTGAAGGCAAAAATAATTTGAAATGTATTTTCATTTTCCGTTTTTATTTGAGCAGTTAAAAGTCAGAGCAGATAGCAATTCCAAGGAGTAAAATACTTGTGAAGGCTTCAAGCGCTTCTCAGTTCTCGCACATTCCAAGTTCATAGAAATAAACTCATCTAGCAGAAAAATTATAAATCATAAACTTTGACGGAATTCTCTAATCTAAAAATGTAAGATTTGATGATCTAAAATCTTCGTACGGTTTTTAAAATAAATCAGATGAGATTGATGACAATTTAAAACGCTTTCAGTACAATATTCAAAATACGATACGTTGCACGTTGCACGTTGCAATGATAAAATACACGAGGGGTCCAAATTCGTGAGGGGGGTCCAAATTCGTGAGGGGAGTCCAAATCCGCTAGCGGATATAAGACCTCCATAGGTCCATATTCGCTAGCGGATATGGACTCCCCGGTCCATATTCGCTAGCGGATTTGGACTGGGGGGTCCATTTTGAGGGAGGTCCAAATCTGCTGGAACACCGGTTTTTACTCGCACGCGCCCGACACACGCTAATGGTGAATTAACTCGTCCATGTGGTCTAATCATGTGACCTGATTAACCAATGGCAATAAACGTGTAACTTGATACAATTTAATTTAAAATGTCATATTATAAAGTTTCTACAACACTTATTAAAATAGTGCCTGACTTTCCACATTACTTCTCTAAACTACCCGATGTCAAATCATTTCTATTATTCTGGAGCCCGATCCCATTTTAGTGATAAGATTAATTTTCATACGCGATTCGGTGCCACAAAAATGTTAGTCTTACGTCAAGGTTAATATGTGATATATTCCTATGATTGTGAATTATTCGGTGAATATAAGCAATATTTATCAAGCTTCGAATTTAGCTGGGACCACGGCAGCCATTGGCCGTCGATGCCTTGCTTGTTGGCCACCAGGGGGCGAAACTTGAGGAGGGGGGGGACGTGACACTCCCCCCCCCCAAAAAAAAAACACGAATTATCTGGATTGGCAGGGCGAATCATCTGGATTGGCAGGGCAATCAAATATTTTAAATGATAGAATGTAGAGTTGTTAAGTAACTTACAGGGCTTTCAGAGGGGATTGAATAGAATTTATAGACCTAACTTTTACAGATATTGGTCCAAAAATAAGGGTTTCACCCATGTCGTAACAGGAATTTGTACACGGGAAAAATTTTTTGGACGTTTAATTTAACTGGTTTATGTCTCTGGTTTATGAAAAAATTTTCGACCCTTTTTTTAATGTCCGGAAAAAAATTTTTTCGCCAACATTTTTGGGAAAAATAGTGGCCAGATTTAAAAATTTGCTACAGGGCATCATCGGTTTTGGCAGGGCAATTCTGGCAGATACCCCCCGAATTAAAAGGGGCTAGTTTTGCCCCTGTTGGCCACAATGCCCTAGTACGTAATATATTAAATTTCACGGCCAGTAATGACCTGCCCTCATCCTCAGTTCTTGCAAAATTGAAAATTAAATTAGCCAGAAATTTTCAACAACTGTAGAAATATTTCTTCGGAAATCTTCTGTGGATCTGTAGGAGTTTTCTTCTCTAAAGTTTGGAAATAAGCCGAGACGTGCCCAAGAGATACATAAACTAAAACAGCAGGTTATTAAATTTTAACCGAGTGTTAGTGGTCATCCAGCTTTTAACAACCAGCCCTTTATGGTTACTTCACAGTCATTTCTTACTATGTGGCTAGGCGCCTCAAATAACAACTGAATGAAAGTTTCAAACTGCGCTTTATAGCCTAGTATATTAGACTGCATCCCTACACATATTACTACTAAAATGTCAAACTATTAAATAGCTAATTTCAGACTAGCAGGGATTTTAGATGTCGTCCAAGCTCTGCTGTCATAACAGCATAATGCATATTTCCACGTCTCGTATAGTCATGCTAGCATTTCAAACAGTGACAAGTAGTTTTTCTAGCAGAGTTTATCAAATTGCTCTGCAAGTTAAAGCTCTGTTTTACTCGTTCGAAACTGTATTAAATTCATACGAAAGTAAATACAAGACAAGATTTCCATATACAATCATTAATTTCAAACAGTTGGTTTAGCCGTCGTCCTGACGCCGTCTTACACGCGTAAACTCCTAAAGCCCGTTTTCCACTCACGTATTTCGCCGCCGCTGGCGAAAAATTTTGCCACCGAAAAAGTTCATTTGTTGTTCTTTCGCGACGTCAACGAAAGGTCAAACAGAAGTTGAAAATTTTAAGCAACTGTAGCAGGAGAACAAATTTCTTCAGCGGCGAATGAATGTAAAAAAATTATTTCTTTGTCAAAATTTTTCGCCAGCGCGCGGCGGCGAAATAACGGAGTGGAAAATGGGCATTTTTGTCGATTGTCGACATGAGTCACATAACAAGTTTGTTCGGCGAGAGAAAGGAACCGCGGTTTTAGTAATACAACTCCAGAATGTGTCCTGCTTGAAAATGAAATATATGTATAATTATACACTCGATCTTAACTTGTCATTCCTTTGCATCATTTAAATTCCATCCAGTTGCTTGACTGTATGTTGGCGGTGGCTCATTAAATACCAGGGGTGGAGCTCCAGCCATACCTATGTCAGAACCCTGGATGTGACACGAGAGTGGATATGGGGATGTTACCATCCTAACACCGTATTGCTGTGAGTGCGCAGGGAATTCATAAACTGGAGCAGATGGTTGTGACTTCGCGGATGTTGTATTGTTAACAAACCAAAACGAATACACATCTAATGGGTAATCAGGATCAACGACTATCCTTGATGTGACGTCGGCACAAAGCATAAGCTGCCAGCCCAGTTTGAAAAACTCTTCAATAATACCACAAAGAAAGCTGCGAGCGTGGATTGGTGAATTCCTCTCACCCCCCGACCACGGCGTGCCAGATAATTTCAACTTGTACACAGTTCCAAAATGCAGAGGTAGCTCGTTTTCAGATTGGATTCCATTTGACCAACGAGACAGCAAAATATGCTTGAAAAGTGAAACTAACTCCGTGGGCATGTTAATCAGCCAAAACTTGTCTTCATCGTGTGGGGCTATACAAAACATCGGATAGTTCACCGTTTGCCGTTTTTGAAACAACAATACAACTCTATCAGAGGAAACGCGGTTTAGGTAAAACCCTGCAACGTTATGCCAACCGTGTTGCAACATTTCCTGAAATATTTTGAGCATGAGATACCGAGCTCTTGCTGATTCTTCTCGTACCGAGTTCCACGGGTGACCAGAAATTTTAAACTCGTAACTACCATGAAATTCTCTTTCGTCTTGAATTCGACCCGGACTCCAATTGGCCTCAACGATTTTCCGAATCATACTGATGACATCATCCGATGCATTGATGAGACGCAAGCGATCACCTTGGCCGAAGCTCATCATACAAAATTGAGGAATTTCATAGCTGTTGACCTCAGGGTCATGACGAAAGATTAGGCAATCTTGATCGCGGTTAAGATTTACATTTACATGATAAACCCACTGGTAACGATGGAGTGTAGTAAAGATAGCCTGCAATAGCATTTTGGACATAATGCTCTCTTGGTTATTATTCGCAGTCCATGACCATGGCGTACCAGCAAGCTTAAACTGCAAGACGCCATTTTCTTCATCTACGCGTTGAATTCCCATAGTCCACGATGTTTTGATAGTGTCCTTGATCGGATTCATAAGTTGCTTGGGTAAATTCGTAAATTGAATTTTGTCGGAGTCGCTGAAACCGACACATAGGAAAGGAGGTGTGACGACATTGGATGGCGATTTCTTAAAAAACAACGTGCTTCTATCCTTCTGTGATCCAAGGGTGCCCGAAGCCACAATCTGGTAGCCGATTCCGTGCAAGTTTTGCAAAATTTGCATTACCATTTGCCGAGATTGTTGGGACGTTTTAATATTGGATGAGGTAAATGGGCAACCGTTAAGCTTAAACGACCAGCCGGTGCCGCATCGTGATTGCTCAGCATGGATGCCTGGCTTCCAAGTGTCCTTAATAGCTTGTCCAACTGCCGATATTCCTGCACTGTCCAGGTGCAGCACTGTTATGCGGTCACCATCTCGGAATGTCATGCTCATCATAGAGAAGCCAGGTTTGACGGCCGTGAGAGGAAATGAAGCATCTGCACCCATGTTTGTCGAGTTGATCTAAAGAATGATTAATAAATAAGAAATTGTTGTGTCTGGCATATCAATGGCTAAAAGCAAAGGTCGTTTTGGACCTCATCATGGGGCTGTTTGCATGATACCGGTTTGCCAGGACAAGATAGAACGCCGGATGAATTTGATTTATTGATTTTGAGGTGGCCAAGCTTAGAATGGTGCCTGTCTCCGCCACAGGCCCTCATGCCTCATAGAGGGTTACAATTTCTAGGAGATCTGCAGAGTCTTGTAAACAAAATGGCTTCATACACTCCTGCTTAAGCCATATTCCATTTCATTTTTTTTATTTAACAGCTTTAATTTGGCAAGTAGAAACTTGACAATACTGTACATAACTTACATAAATAATTACAAGGAACAAGAATATGGAAAATAATAATTAGAGTAGGTGCCAATCGTGGCGAAACCCAAACGAGACCAATTCTCATGCATGGTGCTCACTAGAGGTGTGCAAGTCCGATCCGATTCGTTCGGATTTCGGAACAAAAATATACATTTCGGATCGGATTGATAAAGTTGTTTCGTAGTCGGATCGGACTTCGATATTCGAAATAAAATGAATTAATTATCGTAAGAATTGATTATCCATGCACTTATCAAAGCATTATCGCGGTTGTCACTGCATTATTCGTTTGATACTTCAATTGGACGTCACTTTGTCAGCTTCTTGACATGTATTTCTTGCTTTTATATTTAGTTGGTTAAATATTTCAGCTTGAATGAGAAATTTATTTTATTAAAGGAATCTTCGGATCGGACCGGAATTCTTTATCAAAACTCGGATCGGACAATTTCGGATCGGATTTTAAACATTAGCCAATTGTTGGATTATAAACGTCCGATCCGATCCGATGCACACCTCTAGTGCTCACCATTAGATGAGGTAGTATAGAGGAGCAAGAAATATATTACAGAATCGAAAAATAGAAACATTTTTTCTTTGTACAAGTTTTGCTGATCCAACCATTGAAAAGCCAAAAGATTTTCTGGTCAACCTCAAATATCAATTAAAAAGTAAATCCCCACTGGCCAAACATTTACTAAGGGAGACAATTCAGTTGTCACACATGTCCTTTACCACTTCTGAGACATGAGTTTGATAACTGCTTGTGCAGTTTTCTTCCAGATAGCATTTGTCTCCTAGTAATCGAAAAATGATCAAGATAGTGATTAATTTACAGTACATATTGTACTGACATATGACTGTGGAAATGACAATATTTTTTTACCCAACCCTTGAGTTGTTTTGTATTTACTCAAGCTTTTACTCACTTGAACGCTACTGGCTGATTTGAGAACTAGCTAGTGCAAACGTTTATTACGAAAGTTCAAATTAATATATAATGCAACTGTAATATAATATATAATAAACAATTATTGGATGAGGCTGAGCATGACATCAAGTATTTTTCAGACCGAGATCAATGTTATCTGCCGAAGCGAAACTGATAACATTGACCGAGGTCTGAATAAGAAGTTTATTAATGTTTCAAGTATATTACTTTATTTTCGCGCGCTTTTGGGTTTGAGTTGGCACCGAAAAGAAAAGGATTGGGTAAACAAATTTTGAGCGAGTAAAAGGTTGGGAAAACGAAAAACAAAACAACTCAAGGGTTGGGTAATAAAAATTGACTGTCATTTCCAAAGCATGACTCATTCTAATATTTAAGACTTCATCATACGTCAATACAATATGTACAGGATGCCACAAGTACTTTAAGCTCAAAACCTAAGCCTATATAAAGCAGTTAGTGAGGCGTTACTCCCGATCCGGAATTGAGGCTTTCGGTCGGTGGGTATGCTAAAAAAACTGGTTCGATAAACTTGGTGACAATCCAACGACGGACGAATTGGTTACCTTTTTAAGAGTCGCCATCTTAATCATTTTCCGATTTGTCAGGAGGAAATGGTGTCTCCAAACATGGGCGTACGGGCCTAATCTTGTTTAGGGGGGGGGGGCACAGTATTGAATTGCCCGACCGCTTTGAATATGTTACACAGTACACGTATACAACTTTGTTCGAGATTTTGCCAGGCCCTTTTTTAAGGATTTCCCCGTGGGGGGGGGGGTTGAAAAGAGACCTTTCTGTGAGATAATATATTGGTGGGGAATAGCCATGTGGCCCGACATACGACGCATGAATCCCTGGGGGGGGTCTGGGGGCATAGTCCCCCAGAAAATTTTTGAAATTTGAAGACCGGAAATGCCATTTCCAGCATTCTGAGCATCCAAATTTGCTCTAAAATTTATGCTAACTATACTTATTAACAATAATTTATCATTATTAACAATAATTTATCATTACTTAGTGGTAGCAAAACGTAACAATTCAAATCGATTTTGTTAAACAAGAACAAAGGATAAAGCCTGGTTTGTTTGATTTCTAAGATCTTAGAAGTTGAAGACATGAGTTTTATGTTTGGAAAGAGTTCTGCTGGACCTAGCTTGAATGCAGCCGTTGTATCAAGACGTGAAAATCTGTAATTTGGCGTTGTCAACAGAGCATAGGACAATATCTAAATTATTGATATATTGTAATTTTTCAACTCTTTTCAATGATTTATTGTATTGGTAGCCGTTGCCGTCGCGTTGCCGTCCTAAATCGTAAGGTCTCTAATATTCATTGTCACCGCGGTTCTTATCAACTTTGATGAGAGTTATATATTTTGCCCGAATGACACATGGATTTCTGCTCAATTGCCCGACCTTAAATTTTTTTTTGTTTTTCTTTTGGAATTGGATAAAAAAGGTGGTTGCAGGTATTCAGATCCTGGAATGTTGTGAAATGGCCCTGCTGACCTGTTGGGACATTCTATTGGGTGAACATCAAATGGTGTGTGGAGTGAAATGAAATTTCGATTCAATGTGGCTGATAGAATTGGAATGGTGTGGATAATGATGATTCTAGTGAAGTATGTTATGATGATGCATGGACTGTGATGATGATGGTGAAGCTTGATTTATGATGTAGATATACAGTGATGATACTGGTGATATATAAGATGTAAAATTGTATAAGTGATACAAGAGTCTGAACATTCAAGCTAAAATGAGACATGAATAGTAAAACTGCGATGTGTATGACTTGATTGATTGTTTTTGTGAAGATCGCGCAGGCATAACCCGGGTGCGTTAAAGTGTGATGTATTGTGATATTGCCAAGACCTGAGTGAATGCCAGTGTATCGCCACCCAGGCCAAGTCCCATGTGTTTTGTGTTCAAAACTAAGGTTATGTTCTCATCAGGCTCCAAGCATAACCGGGAAAGCACGTTTCGACCCCGCTAGCTGGTCTTGGAACTACGTGCTCGCATATAAATATTAATTTTTGTTCCCGTTTATATGAAATATATATATGTGTTTGCGCGAAAAAATCTGTTGATTATTTCGTCTAGGAACAGTGTGAAAATTGGTTGAATTTGGTATGTGTGCTTTGTAAAGGGTGAAAATGATAAGAAATAATATAATGGGTGATAATGATAAGAAATAATAATGATAAGAAATAATATTGATAAGAAATTATATGCGTAATGAGGTAATTTTTGGTTACGGAATGTAAAAAATGAAATTTACTTACTGATAGATGTCGTGGAGCGTACTTTGCGTGTAGGCAAGGCGAAAAGGAATTCTTAGTAGGCGAGGGGTTCTAAACTTAACTCGGGGTGGATACTGAGATGTGAGGGGTTGGGATGGGATTAGGGTGGCTTAGTTGGGGAGGGTTAGTTGATGGGGTGCAGGGGTTTCGGAATACAAGGGTTTGGAATGTGGTTTGGTGGGGATTGGGTTAGATCTGGATTTCTGCTCAGGATAGGGGATTGAGTTAGTTTTTAACAGTGCTGTCTACAGGTTTGGGAAGTTTAGAGTGGGTTAGGTGTGTTAATATATGTGGACTTGAATAACTTAGATTCTTGCACTTCACTTGGTGGAATTAATATTAGGATGTTAGGGTTTGTAATCCAAGTGAGAATATATACATTTTAAGACCTAACCAGGAACGACCGCGAAAAGTGCAACACAAGGTCCTCTGGTAGGAATTGAACAGACGGCCCTGCGATTCCGGTGCAGCGCTCTAACCAACTGAGCTACAGAGGCCAGCTGTTGAGCTGTAACCGTAAGTTCATGTATATATAGGTAATCGGGTGTGCGGGTTGTGATAAGGTGGACTTGAATAACTTAGATTCTTGCATTTCACTTGGTGGAATTAATATTAGGGTGTTAGGGTTTGTAATCCAAGTGAGAATATATATACATTTTAAGACCTAACCGGGAACGACTACGAAAAGTGCAGCACAAGGTCCTCTGGTAGGAATTGAACCCACGGCCCTGCGATTCCGGTGCAGCGCTCTAACCAACTGAGCTACACCTAATATTAATTCCACCAAGTGAAGTGCAAGAATCTAAGTTATTCAAGTCCACCTTATCACAACCCGCACACCCGATTACCTATATATACATGGACTTACGGTTACAGCTCAACAGCTGGCCTCTGTAGCTCAGTTGATTAGAGCACTGCACCGGAATCGCAGGGCCATGGGTTCAATTCCTACCAGAGGACCTTGTGCTGCACTTTTCGCAGTCGTTCCTGGTTAGGTCTTAAAATGTATATATTCTCACTTGGATTACAATCCCTAACATCCTAATAGGTGTGTTAATGTTGTTTGAATGTGTCCCTGATGAAAGTGGAAACATCGGTTGAAAATACTATTGAGAGTTGTTTGAAATGGATAGCGAGGGATATATTGATGTAGGATATATTGCCTGTGCCCCCTCCCTGCCGATACGCGTATGTCTCCAAAGGAAGTACATGTGCACACAACATGAAAATTTAGACTGCAAAAAATTGCACAAGCAGTTATCAAACTCGTGTCACCGAAGTGATAAAGGACATTCAAAGTGAGATCTTTTCTAACGTTTTTGGCCTGGGTGGGCATCTGTTTTTTTAATTGAGATTTGAGATTGGATAACAAACATTTTGACTTGGTTGGATCAGCAAACTTTTTACCAAGAAAAGCATTCTCTTCCGTGGCACCCCCAGGCCTTAAAATATCTTTTACAAGGCCGTCTGACAAAATGTCCGGTGACGTTGAGTTTGGGTTGGACATATGTCCGATGACCTTCAGCTCAGTTTTGACTCGGAAATAAGTCTGAATGGCACAAATGAATAAACGGTAGATGTTGTAAAGATATTAAATAATTTGTTTCTTTCATACTTGTTTCCAAGCCAAAATAAACTTGTTTGCCAGAACAGCAGTATTAAAAAAGACTTCGACAACTTAAATGCTGTGCTGAGTGGTTATATTACTACCTTAAGAAATAAGCAGAAACTCGACGTTTCGAGCGAAGGCCCTTCGTCAAGAGTTAGCTACTAACTCTTGACGAAGGGCCTTCACTCGAAACGTCGAGTTTCTGCTTATTTTTTAAGGTAGTAATATAACCACTCAGCACAGCATTTTCACATTGGTACTACCTACACTGGTACAGACAGTTTCGACAACTTAAGCCCGTTTTCCACTTCACCATTTCGCTCGCCGCCCCGCGCTCGACTACGTTAAAACAACATTTCCAGTTTACCTTTTATCAATAGTACTCTGATTTACCATTTAACATACAAGCCTCTAGTCCTGAGCTAGGGTACATTTTGATTTACGTCGGACAAAGCTGCAGTTCGGTCGGACACCAATACACTCGGGTCGGACAAACAATAAACCTTTCACTTAGGTCGGACAGAATGTCTGGTGGTTTCCTCTCTACGTCGGACAATTTCACGAATGGGTCGGACAATATCCGTGACCGACCGATATTTTAAGGCCTGGTCACCCCACGTCAAATCAAATCAAATCAAATCAACTTTATTTCGTCAGGGTATAGTCACGTCAGTTCAGAAGAACTGGTATCAATGTGAGCCCAGAATACTAACTAGTTACAAATTTGTTTTTAAGAGATTATATGAAGATTTTACAGAATATAATAAATTAATGATCGTACAGTTTACTATAATCTATGCTAGGAAGATCATCTATGGATTACTAAAGTGGTCTATGGCTCTCTTCCTAAAGTTTGTGAAAACGTTTTCTTCCCGAATACGCAAAGGCAAACTGTTAAAAACTTGTGGGCCTCTAACATAAAAGCCCTTACTGCCAAATACCAGTTTAACTTTAGGTATATCACATTTATGCGCGCAGTTTCTCGTTAATCTGCCAGGATTAGATAAGTCAATATAGTTTTGTAAGAAAGATGGAACTCTATTGCTTAAACATTTAAAAACTAAAATGGCAGTATGCATTTTCCTGCGAGAAACTAGCGAAGGCCAGTGGATGTTTAGTTCGTAAGACTGATACATGTTTATGATTTTTTTTCTGCTCTTGTAAATGTAAATTACGAACAGCAGTGGGCCCAAAATGGACCCCTGTGGCACACCAGCTGTAATTTCACCAAAGTTAGACAAGATACCTTCGATAGAGCCACACGCTGAGTACGTCCCGTCAAGTAATTCTCAAACCAATCAAGTTCTTTATCTTCCAGACCAAATCTGTATAATTTCCTCAGTGAATTCTCGTGGTTTACCGTGTCGAATGCCTTCTTGAATGTCAATAAAAATTGCACCAGTTAAAAGTCCACTATCTGCGTTTTTTTTCTCATTTTATCGGTAAAATAAGTAACAGTTGTTTCACAAGAATAGTTCTTGCGAAAGTCGCATTGAAATGGCGAAAGTAGGTTATTAATATCAATATGTCTATAGAGCTGAGTATGCACTTCTCTTTCCAACATCTTTGAAAGGACTGGAAGGATGGAAATAGGTCTATAATTCTCCGGATTATCATGCGTTCCGGACTTGTAAATAGGTATCACCTTCGCCACTTTCCATTCGTCAGGGATGTTCCCAAGAAATAATGATAGATTAATAAGACCAGTTAGGGAAACAGATATTTCTGATGCAGCGTTTCGTAGTAATTTTGCTGGGATAGCGTCAATTCCACTGGATTTGCATACCTTAATCGATTTAAGATGGCATAATATAGACGAGGGAAGCACCGGAGTAAAATTAAATACATTCACAGATCTGGCATGGTGAATAATATTATTTAGAGTACAGGAACAATCGTTTAATTCGTTGTTCATTCGTTTGGCCAGGTTACAAAAGAAATTACAGAAAGCGTTAGCTGTTGTGTAATTGTCTTCGGTTAATTTATCATCATACTTAATTCGGGTGGTGCTAGCTTTGGTAGATGACTTTTCGTTTGGGACAAGCTTTTTAACGGCTTTCCAGAATTTACTTGGATTGTCAAGATTTTCCTCCAATAGGTTTCTATAGTACCGGCCTTTTGCTTTTCGTATTTCTCGCGTAACCGTATTTCGTAAATTTCGATATTTATTCCAGTCCAATTCAGACTTACTCGATCTTGCTTTAGTAAGAAAGTGATCTCTTTCCCTCATGCTGTCCTTAATTTTACTGGTTATCCATGCTGTTTCTCTACCCCTGACTTTCTTATTGATTAATGGTGCATGTTTATCCGCAGCTGATAGAAATTTTGTCTTCCAGTTACCCCATGCCTCATTAATGTTTGTAAATTTGCTATAATCTGGGAACGATTTAAAAGAAGCAATGTTATATTGTTTGTAGTTGCGACAAGTGATCGTGCGAGGTTTAAACTTTATGTTGTGTAGTTTCCTAATACAGCCAACCATGTCGTGGTCGCTTAAAGAGGTTTTTATAACACTGCACTTAAGTATGTTTTGTTTTTGATTTGTGGCAATAATGTCAATAAGTGTAGATGATTCCTTTGTGATTCTTGTTGATTGTTTAACCAATTGTACAAAACCAACTCCCTTGAGAGATTCTTTAAATTCTTTAGTTTTCTGATTATTGTTATAATCGGTATATTGAAATCTCCTAATATTATAATTTCCTTCCCCTCCGAGGTTGCAGTGGACATATCTTGAAATTTGGGTAGGAAATCAGGGTCCATGCAGATATTGCGAACCGTCCGGTGGTCTATAGAAGTGAGCCACTAGTAAACCCCGTGTACAAGGCATTGTAATTTCCACCCAAATTGCTTCAATTGATTCAATTTCCAGGTCAATGCGTCTAATAGCATTTATTGTATCCCTCAAGTAAACAACAATCCCACCATAGTTATTACCAGATCTATCTTTTCTAAATAACTTACAGCCAGCTATTTCTATTTCACTGTCATACACGTCGTCATAAAGATGTGTTTCGCCAAGACCAAGGATATGAATTCCTTTATGTGAATCAAGGAGAACACGCAGGGAGTCAATTTTTCTAGACAGTCCGCAGATATTTTGATGGCAAATAGTTAAGCCACGCTTGGAAATCAGATTTTGTAAATCTTCGACGATATAATTAGAATATCCTGTCGTGTCACTGTTCAAGATACTATTGTTGGGAAAACAAGTATGACAAATCGGGCCCGCTTTATCAGTTAGATCACAACATTTCACATGAAGCAAACCATTGCATACATTACAGTTTACCGATATTTGATTCCTTCTAACTGTTCCTTTACAAGTCAAACACTTACCAACAGGACCCGGGTTTAGAGCTATATCTCCGCATCTTTCGATAAGCATCGCCAACATAAAATGCCGAGATATGTTCATAACCGTAGAGATTTTATTCGAGGTTGACTGTCCTGGTTTCAACGAAGCAGTTTGTGATTTCGAACGTCTCGAAATTTCATATCGTATAGGTCTTGTAATTTCTTGACCAACTGCAAACTCATTCTTTATCGAATAATTTACAGCACTGTATTCTTGTCCTTCGGAATAACATCCCAATGAATTATTACAAATAAAGTTTGCAATAATCAAAAATAAGAACAGCGATTGCATGACACGACAAACCGCCATCTTGTATGCAATTTTTGAGCCTGTTGTTTGCCAATTTTTGAGCCTGTTAATTATCGGTAGATTATCAATGACCAGTCTCTTAATTATCGGTTAATTATCAATGACCAGTCTCTTAATTCAACACGGAAGAAAGTCCAGAGTGTGGTACAATGTAAAATTCATAGAAAAGCCAGTACAGAGTTCCTTGGAAGCCTTTGGGAAATTATTTGTACGTCGGTTGATAAAATGGAAGTGGAGATATGGCGCTGTAGATGGATTTATTCCCGATCTTATTAGAATTTTAGAAAAGTACGGCCTTATGATTTTTATGACGGACTTTATAACATCAGAGAGTTTTCCGACGAAAAAGCACTAGAAGGGGATTGTAACTGAAGCTGTGCAAAGAAAAGAAGAGTTGGCTTGGTCTAAAAAACTAAACCAAAAACCAGTTTTAAAATATGCAAGTACATTAACATTTAGACATTAGTTTTTCAGGCCTTAAAATATCGGTCGGTCACGGACATTGTCCGACCCATTCGTGAAATTGTCCGACGTAGAGAGGAAACCACCGGACATTCTCTCCGACCTAAGTGAAACTGAGGTTTATCGTTTGTCCGACCCGAGTGTATTGGTGTCCGACGGACCGAACGTAGCTTTGTCCAACGTAAATCAAAGTGTACCCTAGTCCAGGACTAGAGGCTCGACTATGTTAAATGGAAAATCAGAGTGATGTATAAAAAGTGAACTGGAAATGTTGTTTTAATTTAATGCAATCGAGGGTGGGGCGACGAGCGAAATGGTGAAGTGGAAAACGGGCTTATTGCTTAAGGTGACAAAGTCTTACTGCTGTTTTTGGCAAGCAAGTTAATTTAGCTTGGAAATAATTCAGAATTAATACATTGTGCTGATAATTATTAACTCCTGTCATTTTGACTTATTTCGGAGCAAAACTAAACTGAAGGTCATCGGACATCATCATACACATGTCCAACCCAAACTCAAAGTCATCGGACATTTTGTCAGACGGCCCTGTAAAATATATTTTAATGCCTGGTTTTTGGTATGAAATCTGGGATTTAGCCCCAATGAATTCAAATATCGTAGTCGATATGATTCGTCTGCTTTGTCGTTCTCTTAAAATCGATGGTATCAGAATTGAGAACTATAACTGTTTGCATTCGTTTTATTGTTCCTTCTGTACGTCAAAGGTTTGTGATCAATCCTGTACACCATGCTTTTCTATATTGTCTATATTGTATGAACACTGCAACTTAGAGAGAGTATTGGTGGACGTCGACCACAGATAACTAGCTTATCTGGAGATATAATGGTACTTTTTCATGGTACTTCTTAATTTCTTGGACGATGACCAATTTTTTCAGTTAATCACTGCTAGTGGTAAGCCGGCAAAACTTGGCCACAATTATGGACAGTCTGAACATTGACTTTTGGTTACGATATACTGAGTACGTTTGTTTTTGCATGCAAAATTCACTCTTTGAACCCTTTGGGTGAGAGGTTTTCATTGACTGTAGTCCAGATTGTGCAACTGATATGTACAGTAAATAATTAGCTTGATGACATTTTTCTTATATTTTATCTATATACATATAACTATTTAAATATTATTTGTAACTCTTCAGTAATGGAGGAATAAAAGATGGATACTGTTGGAGTGTGCAACTGTGTGCATGCGCTAATATATGAAAAATGTCCCACAATCATAGCATGAACCTTCTGAAGTAGATTAATCAGATGGAGTCAATGAGTGAGTGAATAGAATTTTTGCTCAATCGTTGAACCCTGCACGTTGTGCCCTGCAATGTTGCATTTGTGACTGCGTAAAAAACACAAAAATACAGAAAGGCCCCCATTTGATAGCTCCAGCACTACCAGCTGGAGCAATAAGTTAGTTTTGTATATTGGTAAAGGTTCACACAAGAAAATGTTAGGTAACTGGAGCTATGTTTTGTCGAACAGTTTAACGTTTTTAGCAATTGTTTGCTGTACCGGACCAGGTCCGGTGGTTGCCGAACCAGTTGAGCAATGAGCATGCATTAGTTACTTGAAACATCGATGGGGAGTTGTTACTAAAACAGACATTATTTCCGTAGTCTAAGCTAATATGTCTGGGTTCAAATGTGGAAATATGCACTTTAAGAATTTTGGAGTCACAAGTTGACTCCGAAACCACATGAGGGACGTGGACCTCACTATCATCTGGGTCTGAAGTAAGTTGCTATCAACTTCAACAGTAGTCTAGGCTACATTAACTATTGAGCCAATTTAAATTAAAAACTCAGGCAGTATCTGCCTTGTTGAGGTACCCTATCAAATATAGCACTGTTATAGGGGCACTAGATCAATTAAGGGAAATTTCGAGTTAACATCCCCTCTCCCCAGCCGGCCAAGCACGTAAGTACGGACCAGGCTGCCCCTGGTCCTACCGAATTGGGTGCCCCCAAAGCAGGGGGATCCTAAATTTATTTGAAGTAATTTATTTGAAATTAATGGGTTTCTTAAACTGAAAATATTTATATATAGCAAAATACAAAAAAAAAACACAACTATAAAATAACACTATGCAGAAATTGTTTTTGACATAAACAGTGAAATGTTTGCCGCTGTACTCATGCACATACAACCTTAGATGAACAAGGCCCCGGACAACTCAGTTCAGGGTGCCCCCCTGGATGACTTATTGCCTGGGTGCCCACGGCTCTTACTGGGTAGAACTCATAGGGTAACTGGTCATTTCGCCAACAAGTCGTTTCACCAGCTGTCAGTTCGCCAACACGTCGGGTCAATTCGCCAACGTTCCCCCACGTTCCTATGTCAGTTTTCCAACGCAACATTTAATCATGGATTATAAAATAAACAATCCACGGTTTACAATTATTTTACAATCCATGGTATGTTATAGTTTACTGCATGCAGTCGGCACAGCTCTGATAGTGCTCCTATTTTTAAAAAAATTTCGCTATCAAATAAACATCAGATTTTTGGTTATCTCACTGGATAGAACAAAATATTGAAGGGAGTTTGTAAATGGAACAGGGTTGGCAAATCTTCTTATATTATTTCTTCTTATATCTTCTTATATTAATATAAGATTTATTTTTCGGGGGGAAATCTTCTTATATCTTCTTATATTATTTTCGACAATTTTGTAATTTGAAGATGTGAATTTGAAGCTATATACTGGTTGCAAGTTATTTGATAACATATACAAGTAAAATAGATTACATGAAAATATGTATAATTTATACTTATGACATCATATTTCCTTGATGTCATCAAAGTTTGTTCGAAGATGGAAAATCTTCTTATACAGGGTGTATAAAAAAAAGGTAATCGAACTTCAGCGCGCTATTGTATCCGAATTACTCTGCGTATGAACGGGATTTTAACACATTCGGAAAGATCATGCTTTTAGCTGTTGAATGATATCTTCTTCATGCCAAATGGATAAAAAATAAGCAAGTACGAATCCAATAAAAAATGTTAGTCAGAATCGCATATTTTCACCGTTGAGATTTGGTCTAAAACCATTGAAAATGAACTCCCTTTAGTACTTAAGTTGATTAATTTCATCCATTAAACTACGCACATATTCATAAAGTAGGAATAAATCTTAGCTAAGCTACAACGCGTTACTCGTTAATAGTGATTAATTGCTTTTTCTTTTGATATGCCTTGTTTTAATTAGGCACAGAGGTGAAAATATGCGATTTTGACTAACATTTTTGATCGGCCTCGTACATGTTTATTTTTTCTCCACTTGGTATGAAAAGCATGTCATTCAATAGCTAAAAGCCTGATCTTTCCAAATATGAAGACCAATTGTTCATACGCCGAGTGATTCACGTATAATAGCGCGCTGAAGTTCGATTACCTTTTTTTTTATACACCCTGTATTGTTAAAAAATCTTCATATATTAATATAAGAAATAAGAAGATTTTACTTTTAAAAAAATCTTCTTATATCCAACCCTGAGATGGAAATTTATAGTGTAAATTTTATACATTTTTATTCCTATTTATATTAACCACTAGGAGCAGCTGCAAACATGCAACTATAAGACCGTCAGTCGCTCTATCGAGTGAGATACTGACGTATGCCTACAATACTGATATATATTTACCCATATACCTTACTACGCTGGCATAACCTTGGTATATATACATGAACTTGCGGTTATAAACCTAAACAACTTCTGCCAGAGGCGCCTATTAATATGTTCCATTTTTCGCAGTTGCTCCCGCCTCCCGATATAGATCGGCCAAAAATATAAAATTTACACTCGAGATTTCCATTATCTACAAAACCTCATGAACATGTGAAATAAATGTTACTTTCACAAGAATTGTTCATAAAGATCTTACTGATTCTTGCGCTCTAAAAATTGATTTAAACCACGATAATTCGCCTTTCTGCTGAGCAAATCTGCGGTGGAACACTGTAAGTCTACATGTAACTGACAGTCGAAATTTCGTAGCTTATAAAATAAATATTTACAAACAGAAAACGTCTAAAATATTAGTATAGCTTTGAGAATACTACAATATTTTAATACCTGTTTAGAACCAGCAGAAACCGATGAAACTTTAAGCGATGTTGGACTTTCATACAATCTTAACAAGTGCCATATTATTCTATCTTGTCATCAGCCTACGTCACGACGTAGTCACATGAGGTGCGCGCGCATGCTAGTCAGTCAGTGCTAACGTGTTTGTCGGACAGCAAAACAAGGTGAGTTTATACAAGGTCGAAAATCTAATAAAATCGAATTGAAAATCAACCATCCTTCAACGAAACAACGTAAAATCATTAAAAACAACATAACTGTAAGTATTTCTATAACTTTAGGCCATTTTTTCCTAGGTGATAATTTTCTTTTCAGTATGGAAAACGAAGCACAACTTCGCATCGACGAAGGCCTCGAGCAAGGCGATAACAGTGTGAACGATAGCCAAACTGGCGATCCTAGCATAAAGGAAGCCCTGTTCAATATAAACGACAGCATGGGGAAAATGGCAGGACTCTTAGAGATTTTATACAATCGACCGCGTAGCGAGGATTGTGATCGCCCACCGGGCAGTAAGCGGCGTAGACGTAGCCGTAGTCCAGATTCCCGCTCACCTGACGAGGATGAACCTCGCGGGAAAAGACGCTGCAACAGCGCTGAGGACGCCGATAATGAAGATCGACTTAGCGTTGACGCTGTTAGCGATATTGACAGTGACATACGATTGCTTACAAGGGAATCTGATGCACAGCCACAGGTCAACGACCATGGCAATCTAGACGAAAATTTACTTAAGGAACTAGATGAATCATTAGATCAAAAGGAAGCTATCGGGCCACCGGTCCAAAAGCAATTGGCGGAAATTGTCAATAAACGTTGGGGACAAAGCCTCACCCCAGAGCGAGTGAAGATGCTCAACGAGCGATATTCCACTCCAGCAAATTGCACTAATATGACACCTATAAGGGTAAATTCAGAAATATGGAAACAACTTACATCCGCTAAGCGGAAAACCGACCTACAACTATCGAACTTACAAGAAACTGTTCGGAGGGTCGCGACTGCCATCCTGCAAACTGCAGACGAATTACTTCCCCAAACTAAGGATGATGTCGCCAAGAATCTGGCTGCTCGCTCAATAGATTCTGTAGCGATGCTTGGACATATGAGTCATACGATATCTCAATTACGCAGAGAGCAAATACGCCCAGCTTTGAAACAAGAGTATGCTTCTATCTGCACAGCAGACCCTACAAACGCCCCTTTGCTATTTGGGGATGATCTAGTTAAACAGTTGAAAGAGGCGAAAGAGACTAGCAGCATTACTCAAAACTTGGCAAATGACGCTATGAAGAAAAATTATGTTAAGGGGGGGGCGAAACCAATACACTGCTGGCCGCCCATTTCAATCAACTAGCTCCTACACTGGCTACCGATCTAATAATCGCTACAATAATTACAATAATAAACCACAATCACAACCAAAGAGGGATTTTTTCTGGAGGGGCCAGAGGCCCTACCCACGGAAAAAGAGATGAACTCAGGCAGCATAAACGACATAATTACGCAACTAGAGACCATAAAAAATAATGTAAGTATGTTTGAAAGTACTATTCCCATTTTAAAATGCCAATTTCAATTTCTGTGCACACAATTCCAAGCAGGCCAAACAGCTAACTGCTGGAAAGAATGGGTCAAACTGACATCAGACAAAAATATATTATCAGATATTAAAGGAGTTAAAATTGAATGCACAGAAACTCCAGCCCAGCATGTACTTATTGAGGCACATTCCTATGGGGAAAATGACATGGCACAAATAGAGCAAGAAATAATTAAACTTTCAAGTAAAGGTGTGATCAACACCACTAAAGTAGAAGAAGGCCAAATTATATCCAATATATTCTTAACACCCAAAAAAGATGGGACTCATAGATTAATTCTTAATCTTAAAGCTTTTAATCAAGTAGTGGAGTACCACCATTTTAAAATGGATTCACTCCAAACAATCATCCAGTTAATGGAAAAAGATTGTTACATGGCATCGATTGACATAAAAGATGCCTACTATTCATTTCCAATCAGACTTAGTGACAGGAAATTTCTTTGTTTTAAATGGGCAGGTCATTTATACCAGTTCACCTGCTTGCCCAATGGGTTATCATCGGCGCCCAGAAAGTTCACTAAGATGTTAAAAGTACCCTTAGCAACCCTTCATAGACAAGGACATATATCCTTGGGGCATATAGATGATTTCTACCTACAGGGACAGAATTATGAATCGTGTGTACACAACGTAATAGACACGATTATACTTTTTACCAAGCTAGGGCTAATTACACACCCAGACAAATCTAACTTTATACCATCACAAGTGATAACGGTCCTTGGCTTCTCGCTCAACTCCAGAACTATGACAGTGAGACTAACGGGGGAAAAAGCTGTACAGTTGAAGCATGACTGCATGCAATTGAAGCAAACCACTTCCACTCCTATTAGAGAAGTAGCCAGAATTATAGGCAAAATAGTTTCTAGTTTTCCTGGGACAACCCATGACCATTATACTATAGGGATTTGGAACAAGACAAATCTCTTGCCCTAAAACACAACAAAGGAGACTATGAGGCAAAAATGGTCTTGTCTACAGCAGCTAGACTTGAGTTGGATTGGTGGATAAATAATATAACTAGTGCATATCAGGTTATTTCACATGGTCAACCATCAATCCAAATAACTACAGATGCCTCCCTACGGGGATGGGGGGCAGAATGTGAAGGTGTGTCAACAGGGGGACCATGGGCCCTTGAGGAAGCCCAACAACACATTAACAGACTAGAATTGTTGGCCTCCTTTTTGGGCCTGAAAGCCTTTGCGCGAGAGAGGAGCAATGTGCACATCAGACTCAGGTTAGATAACACCACAGCTGTGAGTGTGATCAATCACATGGGCACTAGCCACTCTCAGGCATGTAATACTATAGGAAAGAACATTTGGGAATGGTGCATAGATAGACACATTTGGATTAGTGCTGCATACCTACCTGGGAAACTTAATACTACAGCAGATGCTGAGTCTAGGAACTTTGATGTTCATTTGGAATGGATGCTTGATAATAATATTTTAAGAGAGTCTCTCAAGACCTTGCACTTTGAGCCTGAGATTGACCTGTTTGCATCCAGACTGAACAACCAGTTTCCCAGGTATGCAGCATATAAACCTGATCCCAATGCGGAGATAATCGATGCATTTACAATGCAATGGGGATCACTAAAGTTTTATGCATTTCCTCCTTTCAGTGTAATTCCTTTAGTTCTAAGCAAAATGTGCAAAGAAAAAGCGGAGGGAATAGTAGTCATTCCAGATTGGCCCACTCAGAGCTGGTATCCGAAGGCAATGCAGATGCTGCAGAGACCTCCAGTGCACCTGAAAGCACGAAAAAGTCTGCTTCACCTACCAGGTCAGCCAAACCAAGTACATCCTTTACACCACAAACTCAATCTACTGGTGTGCCTCTTATTAGGGAGGCTCTAAATCAGTATAATTTATCAGAGAATGCTAAAAATATATTAATGGCGTCATGGAGAACAGGCACAACGAAGCAGTATAAGACATATCTTACTAAATGGCAATCCCACTGCAAAGTAAACGGGTTGGACATATTCAAACCAGGCTTAGAAAAAGCCATAGATTTTTTGAGTTATTTGTTTCAAGAAGGTTTAAGTTATAGCGGAGTAAATACTGCTCGCTCGGCACTATCAACAATCTTAGGATTAGAGGATGGATTTAAATTTGGTGAACACCCACTGGTTTGCCGATTTATGAAGGGAGTTTTTGAACTTAAACCCGCCTTGCCCAAGTACAAGGAAGTTTGGCAAGTAAGCACCGTTTTAGACTACCTCAAAACAACCAAACCAGCGAGCCAGTTAAACCTCAAAAATCTTTCACAAAAACTTGCGATGCTATTATGCCTCACAACAGCCCAACGATGTCAGACTATCCACCTCATAGACATTAATGGCTTACAAGCTTTGCAGGGAAAATTCCGTTTAACAATCACACACAAGCTAAAACAAACCAAACCTGGAAGACATATTGATCCTATCGAATTGATGGAGTTTAAAGGTGATGAAAAACTCTGTGTTGTTGAGCATCTAAAAGAATATTTGAAACGAACACAGCAGTTGAGGGGTGAACATACTCAATTATTTTTAAGCTTTATCAAACCTTATCATCCGGTAACTAAAGATAGTATTTCTCGGTGGGTTAAATCTGTCTTACAACAAGCTGGTGTAGATGTCACCAAATACACAGCACACAGTAGCAGAGCAGCAACAACTTCACATACCAAACGAAAAGGACTGAGTCTACAAGACATTATGAAAACTACTGGCTGGACATCTGCCACAACGTTTGAAAAATTTTATCATAAACCCGCCGAAACGTCAAAAACCTTTGGACAAACAGTAATGAGTGAGGATTAAACTCGAACACAGTTTACGTTATTGGTTATATAACTTCATATTAAGAAGTATTAATTGTTATTGTCCTTCATAAAAGTTGATATTCGTATGAGCAGAACTTTGAAGTCTCATGTGACTACGTCGTGACGTAGGCTGATGACAAGATAGAATTGGAAATTAAACGAGACTTACTTGTAAGTTGAAGTTTGATTATAATTCTGTCTTGTCATCAGCCAGGAACGAAGGAGTCACATGCCCAGAGCCCACCACCCTGGCTATAAGGACTCCTTCGTCCCACAATAAATTTTCTGCTCACACTCACTTTGAAGACTGACTGACTAGCATGTGCGCGCATTTCATGTGACTCCTTCGTTCCTGGCTGATGACAAGACAGAATTATAATCAAACTTCAACTCACAGGTAAGTCTCGTTTAATTTCCAATTATGATGAACGTTATTTAACCATGCTTACATTGTCAGCTGAAGCTGGTTTCCACAATGGGCTTGTAAAATTACAGTAAAATTACGAAAATGTATTATTTAGATGGTATTTAGAAATAATGCATGCAAATATGAAAAAGAAAGAGGAATTTAAGTTAATATAATACTATTTACAACTATATCCATAACAAGTTTTCATAGTGATGGTTAGCAATTTTCCTTCCAAAAATTGATGATTTGCTTTCTCTAATATTTTGTGACAAATACTTCCATGCTAATCATGTACTCAACTGCACATGCCAATAAGTATCTGTCACAGACAGTTAATTGTTATGAAAGTCTCCCTGCTCATGAGTGCAATAGCAGTGAGGTTTCAATTCCATTTTACTTATTCTGTTTCTGCCTTCAACATATGCATAGATCTACAGAAGATGAACGTTTTTCGGAAAATGAGCAATGCCAGATGTGGTTGGAAAGGTGGGAAACTCAGGCTATGAACACCTCCGATGTGACACTTAAGGAGAAACGAAAAATGTTTCTATCAGATAAAACGAAATTTGATATGTACTTCATGATCACCGGATTCAAAGTGTACTGCAGAACGCTGTTCAAAATGTATCCCGGATCAACTGTTTTAGCTTGCCACACAAACCAGGACAAGCTGGAAAACTTCTTTGGAGAACAGAGGGTGGTGAATGGTCAAACGACCAATCCGTCAATTTTGCAAACAGGTAATTGCATAAATGCATTTACAGTAAAATACATGCTGGCAGTACAGTAACTGATGCATTTAGGCCATGTGCTTCATAAAACTGAAAATGGGAATAATACTATGTTTTATATTATCACATTTCAGAACATTCCACCCTCGGCATTATACACATGCAAGAGTACAAGAAGCCGAAAGGAAACTGCACAAACGTCAGGACCTAAATTTAAGGTGAAATTCTGAACAACGTTTTGTGTGCGATGATATTTCCTCAAAATAGTCTACTTTTCTTCAAAGTACGGTTAGCATCAGCTATTGGATTAACCACTATGTTGATTTGTGGACTTGTGTATGTAAATGACAGATTTCTTCAACATTTTCACTGACAAAAAAGGCATTTTGAAAAACGCAAGAGGTGATTATCGTGTTATATGATAATCACCTCATGAGTAATCAATACTGAAGAGGAATAATTAATTTTATACACTTAAGAAAGTTAGTAAAAGTGGAGTTGGAAGGTTTCTTTTGAATTTTACATTAACCTATGATTGAGCTAACCAACTTTTGAACAACCAGCCCAGGTGAAGAAATCAACCTAATTGTAAATAGGAAATGGGACAGAGAATAGTACTATATTGTTTTTGAAACTATTGATATTAAATTAAGGGTGCATTCAAATGTCACCAATGGGAAACCATACATGTCGTAGTTGTTCAATTACCAATTACATCTTCATTATCACCATTAACATCTTCATTATCACCATTAACATCTAACAGAGATGGACAGGTAATCTTTCCCCTGTATGTCTTTCGGTGACCAGGCAGATTGCAATGTGAGCATGTTCTTGATTTTCCTATGATGAGATTTGACGATAGTCAGGCATATAGAGGGATTGTACTGTACATTATATTGTATATTATTATACTCATGATAAATAGGTCATAACCATATTGATTAATCACTTAAATAATATAGGTTGACATAATAATATAGACTGTACCTCTGGCTTGCTGTCTTTGCTGATTTGCTGGGTTTTCTGTACTTTGACCCACTTTCTTAACAGGCACACACACATTGTTTCTTAAATTTGTTGTCTTTACCATGTCATACATTTCTTGGGTCAACTTTTCAGGACTTGGCATTTCTTCCCCCGATGCTCATAAAACTTCTGCCAATGTTATGGACCTCTCTTTTTTTTGTTGTCATTAGAAGTTGGAATATTGTAAGCCATCATAATAAAGTTTAATTCAATGTGTGAATAGGGAGGGATCAAACACATTATTCTCCTTTATATGCCAGTGCCTTTAGCGAAAAGTGTAGCAGAGTTTGGAAATTGGTCTTTTATCATACTTGCTGTTGTTACATGACTGTCTGATTTTTTTGCTTTTTTCTTGGCTTTAGCTTGGAGACCTTGTCATAAAGCACTGCTTTTCTTTAGTTGATTCAACTTTTTAAAGTTTCTCACAGTTTCTGCAGACATCATGTTGCAAAATCGGTGAATGATTCGTTTGAATAATGCCGATGTAGTTTCTTCTTCAAAAATAACATTGTCCACCGTGCAATCTGTTATTGTCTCTATAAATTAATTTAAATAAAAAAATTGTAATAACAATTGTTTATATAACTAGTGATGAGCCGATTAATCGGCCGATATTTGGTGTTTTCAAAATAATCGGTAATCGGCCAATTATTTTTTATAATCGGCTAATTTGCCGATATTCACAATATTTTCATGTTTTTTTTTTAAGAAAAATAACTATAATCTAGTAATCTACACTCCATCTTGTTTTCGACACTTTTGTTGCGCGTGTTTAATCCCATATTGCGTTACTTGAGGGAATAAGATCACTTGTAAGTTAATTAAAATCTTATCATTGTATCTTAATTAAACACAAAATCACTGAAAAAATTTTAGCCAATTTTACTGTTTAAATAAACATTAAAGCCTTTAAAGAAATTAAAGGCTCGAAAAAGTCGAGTTATCTAGACAGTATAGACATCTAGTCTACAGATGTTGAGTGAATTCCAATTATACATTTATATTTTTACGTTTGATTCATTTGACTCGTACAGCGACGGATAACTGTCCCATATGAGTAAATATGTTCTGGAACACACTAAAACTAGTAAGTCAATTTATGGTGTATACACAAGTATTAAAAGTTGTCAAAAAACCGTTATTCGGCGCTTGTACTGGGTTTTAAACTTTTATTCAACTTTTACACAGAAAATATCGGCCATAGCAGATTAATCGGCCGAATATTTTTTTATATCGCCTCCGATATATCGGATCGACGAATCAGCTTCTTTCTGGTATCAGGTCATCCCTATATATAACTGTATATCAATACAGGAAAAAGTTTTATATTTGTTTTGTAATATAGACATTGTCAAAAAGTATAAAATATGAGAAATGTCTGAGGGGCCTGGCAGAGGTGCCAGAAAGTCAATAATTGGGGGGGGGGGCAGGTATTCATATATTCATGTTCACAGACTGTAAAAGCAATCGCTTTCAAAAGAAATTAATGATGCAGAACATGAATTTGTGAATATCTGCCCCCAATTATCGACTTTCCGACGCCCCTGGTGGAAAGTACGATTAATAATTGCATAATTGTTATTTGAACTGTCCAGAGTCAACAATTGTCCAGAGTCATCAGTAACATGTTCATGTAATTGTTTTACCAACCTGAATTTGTGAATTGACTGTGCTCTGAGGTGTCCGTAACAATCTTATCGACTGTGCTTGTCTCTATATATTAAATGCAAAAAATAATGAACAAATTTAGTATTATATTGGTGATTATTGCTGTCGAGTGAAGCAAGCAGCTCTCCTTTTTTTTATTCAAGCTCAATTTTTGGTGGTCGTTGAAGTTTTTTGTGATGTAATATGATGAAAAAATTTTTAAAATTTTTTTTTCAAATAATCATTGAAATTATGCCCAAAACAATCCTCAGGCACAGTGATTATTGTGAATAATCACCTTGCCTTTGGCAAATAATTATTAAATATGAAATTCATGCAAGCTCAGGTTTCTCTAGGTCCCTTTAAAAGGAACAGAAAATTATAAACTGAACCTGGTGATTAATCAGGCACACTAAAATAGAACTGTTTAAACCAACATACATGGTACAGGTTAGTCACCAATTTATTTTACACACCTGAATTTATTGTGTTATGTTGTGCAATGTTGCTATCTTGCAAATTTCCCTGGCTACTGTCATCTAGAAGAAACATCTCATCTGTTTCCATGAACTTATCTTCCATAGTAACGGACCGATTGTCTGTCCCATTAATCGAGATGTTGTCCTGAAGGAGATGGTTATTCCTGACAGTGACTCCATCACTTGTTGAAGCATCAGCATCATTAGCAGTGACCTCTGCTAAAACATCATTACTGGGTTCACCAGATTTTGACAAGCAACTGGAATGATCAACAGCTGTATCTACAACCATGTTGTTGGTGGCATTATCGCCACTGACAGCAATATATACTAAGTCACAGAAGCTTTCTTTCAGGGTGACACTCTTCAAGATATGATCGTAGGCAACAGACAACGTATTCTGCTTAAAAGCATGAATGTTTTTCTCCGAAAGCTGTTCAGATGCAATCGCTAAAACCTTGATAAAGAAATCAAAAACTGCATCTGTGATATAGGTTTTCCCTCCCTTGTCATACAAAGTAATGTGTTCGAGTGGTTTCAGGACACTTTGATGTTTCTAACACTTGTTGTTTACTATTTTTCAGCTTATCAAGAATAACCTTAATATTTCGGGTTTTTTGAATCTCTCTAACAACATTTGTTGACCTTGAACATTTGTGGCGGTTGACATAAGAGATGCATGCCTTAATTTCTTCACTTATCACCCATCCACCAATATCCCTTATTTTGCCTTGTGCCTCCTTTGTCGTGCTGTGAACCGGTCCTTCTTTAAATTGAGTGGGATTGTTAAAGTATGCCTTTCTCGGATCATCAGCTTTTCTATGTATAAACTCGGCATACACAGCCCTAGCATATACCACTGCAGCCTTTCGATCTTTTCCTTTAATGCCGATATCCACATTCCCTTCCGAGCATTCTTTCCATTTTTCAAGCAGCTGTGATGATTTGTACAGGCTGTGCAACTGTTTGGTAACCCCTGAAAATTTCTTTCTATCCATTGTTGGACTTTCATTGTTGCAATGCATTTGTTCATAAATGCACCATAGCCACTTGCAAAACTCATCAATATGCAGGTTTGAAGCCGAATACAACTGCTTCTCTTAATTTTCTTCTAATTTCAGCGACTTAAGAACATCAGAAACATCATCACCTACCGTGAATTCTTTTTTCACTCGCCTGTGAATGCTATCCATGGCACCTTCTGGAAGTTTATTCCCCGAGAACTTTTCCTTTATCATAAATGGTTGCGATTCTTTGGCTGCGCTAGGAACAGGCACACATTCGTCCACACTGACGATTGGCATGCTGATCGTGTCCTGTTTCTTCGAAGACATGAGCATGTCTTCTACCTCAAACTCACTAGCATTTACAACACCACTGGAATAAAATTCCTTGACAAGTTGGGGTATTGCAGGTAGTCTTTCACGACATCCGGTTATCCGTAAACCTTGAACAGTCCTTGCTCGCGAAACAGCAACATAAGCTTGCCCAGGTTCAAAGACTTGTGTTACGTCAACTTCTAGGAAGTCAAATGACATACCTTGACTTTTGTGGATGGTCATTGCATAAAGCAAGGTCTAATGGAATTTGCTACCTACTTGCAATCACAACACTTTCTCTTTCAACTGTAAACAGTTCCTGCCATATCACCTCAACCTCACCATTGTCAAAATGAACGTTCGCAGGGAAAACCATCTATAAATGATTTCACAGTTCCACATAGTCCATTAACTTTGAATTTAAATTCTTAAGTAGTACAACCCTGGCTTCCAATTTAACCACCACAGTTCTTTGTGTGGAGCAGCTCTTTAAGAGAGCTTGCCTGTTAGAATCACAAAATGTGTGGCAGATATGAAAAACTGAAAGTTCTTCAATTTCCCTCGATTTTATATATATTGCAGACCTATCCAACCCCACAGATTTACTGAAGTATCAGCCATGAAACAAAAAATGAAGAAAAGTTAGAGCACTTCAAAAATCGAACCAAAAATGACGTGAAATGTCCAAGAAATTTTGCTATATAAAGCAGTCAACATCCTGTGCTATGCTGAGTGCGCATTATAGGTTTTTGCTCTGCTGTTACAATATATGTCTTTAGAATATATGGAACTTTCTCGTGATATCTTTTCTCCATAAATCGAAACTTATTGACTTGGTTATTTGAGATCAAAGATGGTTGAAATTTCCGGGTTTTCCAAACTAGCCAAAGTACGTCTTGTGAATCACCTATTTAAATATGGTCCTACTTTCTTTATAAATTAACATATGCATAATTTGTTAGGGCTAGGATTTAGTCATTCGACGACGATTTCAAATGTTTGGGATTCTTTTGTGTCTTGGCGAAATTTGCAGTTAAACATGTACAATATTAGCATAATGGGCAATTCCAGCTATAGACTAAATTTTGATTTGGGCAAGAAAAACAAAATCCATCAGCACAGCTAGAAAGAGTATGTTAAAATTAGTAAAATTACAAAGTTTCGTTGCAAAATGTTGTAAAATGAGGAAAATATAGCCCTGCGAAAATTTGCAAATTTTGTATTAATTTGTCAGTGCGCACGGGAATTTGCACCACTTTCGGCCCAAATGTGGTATACAAAATTTGCAAATTTTCGTAGGGCTATTATTTTCCTCAATTTACAACATTTCGTGGCCAAACTTTGCAATTTTTCTAATGTTAACATGCTCTTTCCAGATGGATTTTGTTCTTCTTGCCTAGATCAAAATTTAGTCTATATGGTCTATTATAGCTGGAATGGACCATTTGCATTATAGACTAAATTTTGATCTAGAAAAAAATTTCATCACAACTTGAAAGAGCATCACAAAATTAGTAATATTCCTAAGTTTCGTTGCAAAATGTTGTAAATTGTGGATAATATAGCTTTGCAAAGTTTGCAATTTTCAGTAATTTTAGACTACAAAACGGGAAATTGATGCCCCAACACCCGATTTGGACTGTCAATTTCCCGTGTGTAATACAAAATGACTGAAAAACGGAAAACTTCCCATGGCTATATTATCCGCATTTTACAACATTTTGCAACGAAACTTTGGAATATTACTAATTTCGTGATGCTCTTTCAAGCTGTGGTGAAATTTTTGTCTAGATAAAAATTTAGTCTATAATGCAAATGGTCCATTGCCCATTGAGTGGTTCGTATTAACTGGAGCGTGACACTGTGAATATTATTTCTTAAATTTTATTTTAAAATGATTCTGTGTTTACTGTAGTCGTCACTGAGAACACACGCTTCACTTCTTAAATATCGGGTCATGCATTTTTAAATTAACTCAAATTTACATCATGAAAAACACAATCATGCATGCAGATATGCAAATACTATACAAATATAAATAAAAACGTTGTCCTTGAATGGAAAATCAGCTGAAAAAGAATACAAGATGGTAAGCGTGATCTTCTCTAGAGTGTCTGCAACAAATTATGTTGTGGTCTAGTACGTAAAGAAAAAGTAGTTCCAAGATTGTTTACTACAAGATAAAATTAATAATTGATTTGTGACATTTGTAACCTACGCTGTTATAAACCTGGAAGTTGTTATATCCTCAGAAATGCACTGTTATACAACTCAAACTCAACTTTTAATGTCCTTAGAAAACTGAATAACAACCTTTGCTTTATCGCTCTCGCACATGTTCCTAAAACCCCCAAAGCGCATGCGCAATATATCACAGAAGTAACTTTCTCAACAAAGTTGTAAATAAATGCACGCAGCGAGACAATTATCCACTGTAGTTTAATATTGCAACTGAAACTCTCTGCCGGATTATGTTACATTGGTTTGTTACAGTCCTTGAAGCATAAAGGTAAGTCCATTGTATTTTTCGTATTTCCTTAGTTTTATCTCGAAGTTATTACACAAAGTTATTACACGGAAATATTTAACCTTGGTGTAAGTGTTTTCCAAATCACCAAATGTAATGTAACTTCCACCGACAAAAATAGTAATGGGAAGAATTATTTCTGCTCTACCATCAGATTTGAACTAAGTTCATATTTTGTCGACAGCAAGGGCCAGCTCATTACAGGTATTGCAGAAATCACTTGAAACTGAACTGAATCATTTAGTACAGACATCAAAATAGGCAGTCGCGAGACTGCACATGCTACTGTTATTTACAAACTATATAACAATGCGCGGAAAGTATTACAAGTAACCAGACACAGTTCTATAATGCGGTGCCCTAGTGTCTTCTAGGGACAAACCAAAAACAAAGTCAAAACCTTCGACACTAAAGTGCATGACAGAATAAATAGTTGCATATTGACAACAGTTTTGTCCTGAAGCCGGATTTCAAGCTCCCCCCCCCTATTGGCAGACCCCCTCCCCCCCATTGTTGAGACCCGTCGGAAAATTTGAAATTTGTTATGTTGTCGAGTTTGTCGGAATCGATACGTAAGAAAAGTTATTTCAAAATATGTGTAATAAACTGCAAGTCGTACATGAATGTATCGACAGAAAATGTAAACAATAAATATGCAGCGTCAGCAGCGATAAATATAATTATTACCTTAGAGATTACATGAAGAAAATATGCTTGTGATTCCGCATAAACCACAAACTCACAGGCAGAATATAAAGCCGGTGTCAAACTTGGACTGGCACCGCAATTTAAAGCCATGCTTGGGGCTGCGGCTATGTTTTTTACGTTTGAAAAAAGTTAAAATGTTCTTGGTCGTGCGTGCGTACGTGCGTGCGCGCAGTATGTATATACACATATAGTGTAGACAAAGTAACTTGAATGCAAAGAAAATCATTAAAAAGTGAACTGTGTGTTATCAGTGTCATTTACAGTGAAGCATGTTAACTTTTTGAATAGAACAAGCGTAAGATATTGGAATCGTAACGCGCCGGTTAATAGAATCCAAGCACTCAATTACGCTAATATTGTACATGTTTAAGATCAAATTTCGCCAAGACACAAAAGAATCCCAAACATCTGAAATCGTCGTCGAATGACTACATCCTAGCCCTAACAAATTATGCATATGTACATTTATATAGAAAGTAGGACTATGTTTAAATAGGCGATTCCCAAGACGTACTTTGGCTAATTTGGAGAACCCGGAAACTTCAACCATTTATGATCTAAAATAACCAAGTCAATAACATTTCGATTTATGGAGAAAAGATATCACGAGAAAGTTCCATATATTCTAAAAACATAGATTGTAACAGAAGACCAAAACTTGAAATGCGCGCTCAGCACGACACATGCACTTTATATAGCGACATTTCTTGGACATTTCGCGTCATTTTTCGTTCGATTTTTGAAGTACTCTAACTTTTCTTCATTTTGTGTTTCATGGCTGAAACTTCAGTAAATGTGTGGGGTTGGATAGATCTACAATATATATAAAATCGAGGGAAATTGAAGAACTTTCAGTTTTTCATATCTGCCAGAAAATGGCGAATTATTGCGATTTTTACAGACAAGCTCTCTTAATTTCATGGGGTATAATAGTTTCCCGGAGAATGCGATAGTGTTGGTAATATGTCCACATGTCGTACTGATTGAGTCGCACATGAACGAATTAAGTAAACGAGGAATTTCGTGTGCTTGTGTGTCTGGCGAACAAGCATGTCAAGGAAAGAGTGGTGTAATATACGGCAAATATTCATTTGTTTTTGCAAATCCAGAGAGTATTATCATCACTAAAATATCATGAACGAGAAATGGCGAGAAATGCTGCAAAGTTCGATCTACCACGAACGTCTATTTGCAGTAGTTACTGACGAGGCACATGTCATTCCAAAATGGTAAGATCTATTGATAGTTAAATATTGCTATAAATCAGTGAAATCCAGGGATGGCAAATATGTTTATTATCAATTTTATTATTGTCTTTTATTATTAAAATAAGATTGGAAATGAGGCTAAATTCAAAATGACTTTAATTTTCTTAAATAATAAAAATATTATTGTTATTATTATTTATATTTGCCTATTTACTTAATAAAATAATAAAAATTACACTACATATACAATCACATATATGACAACATAATTTATATGGACATCATATAAATTCAGGGACGCCGGAACGATGTCAAGGCAAGGGGAGCAGATTTTCGCCAAAGGGCACTTCTGAATTGATATATACTAAGAGATGTTTGCAAAACATCGGGATTTGAACTTTTCCTAATCATGTTTTCTATTTATTGAATGATAGGGGTGTGAGGGGGTTCTCGGCCAGGCGATTGTGCTATTCTTGAAGCTTGATGACTGCATTTCTTGCGTTTTCTGAAGCAAATTCGCAAAAGAACTAACATTTCTGGCAATCGCTATTTCGCCAAGGCAATCCTTTAAATTGAAAGGGCACCTCTGCCCCCCCCCTTACCCCTCCTGGTATAGGGGAACGGGGTTCGCTGCCCCTCCTCCCCCCCAGTTCCGGCGTCCCTGTATAAATTCATGTTATTAATGTTGAAGTTGTATATAGATGAATTTTAAAGGTTATCCGAAAATTGTCTTTAATCGTCTTAGCTACCCAAGATGAAATGTCAGCCTTACCCTGGGTTGAACTCGAGCCCATGGCTAAAAAGTTGTCATGTGATCATTTTATCCCATGGATGCAAAAGTTATTTGATTGAGGAATTTTTACATTTTGTTCACATATTTCCCTTTGTTTTTTTTCCATATGTTACCTGATACTCTAGCACATGCATTAACCCTGGTGCTGAATTTGTCAATTTGTTGAATTTTATTTAAGATGGGCTGAATTCAACCCCCGGGTTGAAAATGCATTTTGTAATTGGCCCTTTAAACTAGTCACAATTATTGGTAATTCCCATTGTCAGTGGTCATTGGTGTATGCTTTGTCTGTCATAAAAGAATACAATGGATTGCCAATGAATTGCTACTATTTGTTAATTAACCCGACTTCAACATCAGGATTTCAGCTTGCATGTTTGCAAACATTATTTCAAGGATTGGTGTATGTTCACACCTGACATTCTACATGTTCCAAAAATATTGTATTCCTGATCCACTATAGATTAAAGATAAGTGGGAACAATGCCAGCTAATATGTTAATGCTATCAGTCAAAATCAGACTAACCTTATGGAATTTAATCAATATTGTCAAAATGTTGCCATTATGACCCATATGGTGTGGATTAGAACCATTTTGAGCAAGCCCTTTCTTTGGTGTGCCAATGTTCTCCACTTTTGAAAGTGGATATAAATTAATATTTTATGATGGGTATTATTCAAAATACAACATTGATGAACATGCAGGATGTCTCAATTAAGTTTGAATGAATGAATTTAAAGGTCAATAAAAAATAAGCAAATTGAAATTCTATGTATATGTATAGTATTGAGTTTGCTTTTATTCTTCAGGGGATTTGGTAACTCTAAGGAAAAGCTGATAGCTTTTCGTGAATGCTTTGGTCGTCTTGGAGAGTTAAGATCACTAATTCCTGATTGCACACCAATACTTGCACTTACTGCAACGGCTGCGCAGAAAACAAAAGAGGAAATAGTTACATCATTGAGTTTCAGAACTGACCACTATGAAATCATAGTGAGTCCTGACCGCCCGAAAATTTATTTGTACAGAGCTAAAGTGAGTGATAACCTCTTGAAGTCCTTTGATTGGCTCCTCGGCATGCTGCAATCAGAATGTGATTTATGTCCTAAGACTCTGGTATATTGTAAGTCAATTAAAGATTGCGGTCAATTATTCACATTTTTTAATAATCATTTAGGAACATTAGCTTATGCAAATGGTGCTGAAAAAAATTCAAAAAACATGTTGATTGGAATGTACCATCATAACACAATTGATAAAAACAAGAAAATAGTTACTTCGTCACTTTACAATCCTAATGGGAAATGCAGAGTTATTTTTTGCACCAATGCATTAGGGATGGGTATTAATTTCCCTGACATCAGGTACAGTATGTTCTACATTATGGTCTCCCACGAAATGTAGAGGACTTCCTTCAAGAAATTGAACGAGGTGGTCGTGATGGAAAATCTGCCATGGCTATTCTCCTCTTCCGAGGAAAGCATCTCAGAAAATGTGACACATCCATAAAGAATTATTCCAATGGTGATAACGTTGAATGTCTGCGAACCCATATTTTATCAGAGTTTTTTCAGATTAAACATGATTCTGTAAGACATGACTGCTGCCTTTTATGCCATGAGAAGTGCCACTGTAATGGAGATAACCCATGTGATAAACAGATCCCCATTAATCTTCACAAGAATCGTCCAGAATCAAATTCAAAAACATTGTGGAAAAAACGAAAAGTAATGGCAGATGAGATCAAACTTCTTGAAGAGTTGCTAAATGATTATCAACAAAAGCTTATCAGTTCATGTCCTACTTGCTAATGCACAACTGGATTCAGCGACAACTTAAAGAAGTCTATCCTGTCGAAGGCTATAAATACATACTTGATATTGAGTATGTTTTGCACAATCTGTATGTTTTTAATGTGCAGCATGCAATATTACCTACATGTGTGCTGAAGTGTTCGGTGACTTTGATGTGCATATTGATGAGAAGTATACCAATATGGCAAAAACAAGTCAAGCTGTTAGTGGTGACGGATTTTATGATTTGGATTTTGGAGGTATCTATGCTGAATATCACGAGGAATCAGAAAGTAGTGAGTCTGAATGTGAATTTCCATAAGTAGCTAGGTTTTTGTAGTAAGGGGAAGTGCAAAAATTACAACAAGAGCTGGATGATCATTTCTATAATCATTCAGTGTTAAAGCCTAGTTCTCATTCATCGTAAACCGTCGGCGATGGGAGCTTTGCGACGTCGGCGACGGCTTGCGATTTATGAGAACGCATCAAAAATTATATCGCCGATTGTCCGTAATCGTCGCCGACCATCGGCGATGACATCGCAGGAAACAAAAAAGTTTGTTTCTTGCGACCATCGCCGACTGCCACCTGCTTGAAAAATCTATGAGAAATGAGTAAAAGTTGTTTTTTCCTCAACAAGCAAGGAAATAATCAACTGAAGTTTGACAGAAATCGTGAACTTTGCATTGAATGGGGCCATTTTGTGTTTTGGTGGGAAATTTCGAAACACATCGGCTGTCATCTGCGACGATCACCGATGTATGAGAACTTTCGTGCATTAGCGCTCGGCGAGTATCGGCGATAAGCGTCGCCGATCGTCGGTGACAGTTTGCGATGAATGAGAACTAGGCTTAACCCATTGAGTTGCATTGCGCCCTACTAATTATTTTACTCTGTCTAACCCCAGACGATTTTACAGTACTTATCAAGGGGAAAGCGCTGACGTGTTTAGTTAACGCATATGAGTTGCGTTGCGCCCTGATGTGTCTTATTATTTTATCCTTGTGATGAGACTATAGCCAGACAATTTTACTCGTCAAGGGAGAGCGCTGGAGCTTAATGGGCTAACTGCATGGTCTATCTGCCCATGCGTCTAGTTAACCCATCGAGTCACAAGCGCTGGTGCTTAATGTCGTTTATTTGAAAATGTGCACCCCAGTAGACAATAAGTCAAAAACATCTACGTACAGTACCATATATGCTTTTTATTGATGGCACAGAAAACATTTGACAATGATATCTATTATCTCAATGCAGTTAATTGTAACTGTTCTACGACATAATATTGTCTGCTAAAAATTATCCACCCCTTATATTTTGTGCAAGTTTCTTATCTTTAATCGAACTTTCAACGAACATACCATATAATTATCCATTAAATATTTGACAGGTCGAAACAACTGACCATTTGCCTTCTATAACCATTTAAGGTACCCTGGGTGCCAGAGGTTCTTCTATGCTCGCAGAGGGATAATATCCTCATGTATCCCTCGTTATCCCGATACAAGCGTGGAAGAACCTCTGGCACCCAGGGTACAGTTAAGGCGATTTAACGTGGCATCAGCACTCGTTTTCATTAGTCAGAATGACAATCGTATACAACTAATCATATCGTGTAAATGGGCCTTTATAGTACTTTGCTATAACGCCAGACGATTTTACTCTTCAAGGCGAGAGCGCTAGCTGCATGGTTCTTACTGGATTAAACAAAAGTGACTAAACGTGAGACAAGAGTATGTTATATAGGCAGGGAATGAAAGTTGGAAAACAACAAATCCTGGCCATTTTCGATCATCACCTTTACTATTTTTCTATAAAACAAAATCAGGATGATGATCAAAGAAGATCATTTTTTAAGATGAAAGACAGATGTATTCTCTTTAACCCTTTGAGTCGCATTGCACCCTGATGCACCCTACTGTAGTATTTTACTCTGTCTAACACCAGACGATTTTACTCGTCAAGGGGAAAGCGCTGGCGCTTAATGGGTTAACTGGCCTATCTGCCCATGTATCTGAGTCGCATTGCACCCTGATGCACCTTACTTTAGTATTTTACTCTGTCTAACGCCAGACGATTTTACTCATCAAGGGGAGAGCGCTGGCGCTTAATGGGTTAAAATACTGGAATAAACATAAACGAGTCATTTCTGATCATTTAATATATCTGCCAGTCCGAAAATATATACCACTTAATTAGACTTAAAATTAACATGATAGAGATATAGTTTATATGTCATCAAGTCTCCACAGGTAAAAATCTCAGCTTGCCAACAAGTATACGTATAGCAAGCTGGCCGTCAACATGAATTAAGAAAACATGCATGCAATGTTGTCATTAATTTTATCAAGATGCTACAAGATTGTCACATTGCAGGACAATAACAAGTTGTTGGAACAATCTTGTAACAATTCTGTAGTCATGCAGTCAACATGTAACCTAAATTAACCCATTAATTGGTAGAATTCTTATACTGACAGAATTGTCTGGCGTTATACAGAGTAAAATGCTGAAGTAGGTCGATATGGGTGCCTATCAATTGCTATCTAATGGGCGGATCCGACGACTAAAACTAATTGAACACAGATATTTTATATATGTGCGATTTGAAATACATCTAGTTTTGATTTTAAATATACTTCAATCTATAGTCTGAATTGAAATATTTATGCTGCAATCTTTTTTTAATTATTTTTTGTCTATATTTCAGCTCTCGATCCTAATAAAATATTGGGTGACCCCCCATGCTTCTTAAGCACCTGGTGTAATGAGCATAAATTTCAGTTGTGTTGTGTTTCATGAAAATTCAATGAGCAACCCAACCGGTTTGGCCAAAAATTATACTACATACCTGATATAAAATTCGCCCAGCATGCCAATCCTCCACTTTCGGAAGGATTCCTTCCAGTCTTTCAAATGTAGTATCACCATCAGCATGACCCTTTTGAGCATTTCGTGCACGTTCTTCCGTGAGTTGATCGCCACCAAGAAATAGCTGTGTGAGTATGTGTGAAGATTCGCTTCCATCTTTGTAGACAACTTTCTCACAAGGTAAATAATGCTCATGAATATCTGCCAAGATATCAATCATTTCATCATTTAAATTTTCATTCTTGAACATTAATCCCAAAGGCTCCTTTAAGTAGAATAATATCATAGTTGCCTCGAAATCCTTTGTCTCGCGAGGTACGATTAATCACTAATTTACCTCATTACCCATGCATACGCTTTGTCTTCTAAATTTACCCGGTAAATTTAGTTGAAAACAAAGGATTTCTTTGTCTTCTAATCTTCCCCTGCATGCTTGATGAGGGAAATTTAGAAGACAAAAGCGTACCTCATTACCTCTGATTGGAGAGCTGTACCTCATCGAAAATCATCGGCACAACTATGGACAATATCTGACGACACCGTCCCGTACACATTCGAACAATCACTTTGCCAGCTTTTATTCCCTAATCTTGAACATTACAATTGTGGGAGAAAATTCCGTTTATGCGCATGCCTAAAACGAATGAACACGGAGATGTGTTTCTGCGCGTGCGTATATATGAAAAGTGTTCGTACCTCAATCATAAGACAATCAAACAGCATTCAAAACAGGCAACACACCACGCGCGATTCCCTCGGCAACTATGATATTACAAAGTAATAGCATGGCGTTACGGTCGATTAGTGATGAAATGTCCCTCAAGCCTCGAGAGGTTTAGTAAAAGTCCCTCGGCGCTACGCGCCTCGGGACTTTTACTAAACCTCTCTCGGCTTTTGGGTACATTTAATCACTAATCGACCTGAATGCCATGCTATTACTTCTAAATAGTATAGTTATTAACCCTTTAAGTGGCAATGTGCCCTCATGCTTCTTACTTTATATTATTTTACTCTGTCTAACGCCAGACGATTTTACTTGTCAGGGGGAGTGTTGTCACTCAGTGGGGTTAATATTTAACCCATTAAGCACAATCGCTTTCCCCTTGGTGAGTTAAATGGTCTAACGTATTATTATTAAGCTTTATTTCGCATGACCTATTTACAGGTATTGCAGCATTTATCTAAAATTTATAAAACTACTGTATATGAGTGCTCAGAAATGACCTAAAGTATCTAAAATAATGGTCAGAAATGACCTAAATATTCTATAATAATGGTCAGAAATGACCTAAAGTATTTATAATAATGGTCAGAAATGACCTAAAGTATCTATAATATATAATGGTCAGAAATGACCTAAAGTATGTATAATAATGGTCAAAGATGACCTAAAGTATCTATAAGGATGTATAAAGTATCTATAAAGCATCTATAATAGTATATACATGCAGTAGTTAGGTTATTTATCCTACTGCGTTTTGTTCCATGGATCTGAGACTATTTTCTCTGTTAGCAAAACACGTGGAGATAAATTCGGAAAAAAGATTAATGATTACTGGATCGTTGGAAATCATTGTGTGTTGCAATAATTTTCGTTTACTTTCATTTGTTACATTCAGATCAAATATTGTTTTCAAAATCGGATCTGAGTTGTCTCGAAGTTGATTGTATTTTTGGCATGCAAGACTGAAGTGAAATTCATCTTCTATTTCGCCAGAATTGCACAGTTTGCAGGTGCGTTCTTCACGAGGGATATTTTGGTATCTCCCGTATTCAATTTGTAGTTTGTGGTTGCTTATTCGAAATTGCGTAAATGTTCTTCTTGTTGTTGGATTTTTAATGATGGATAGGTATGGTTCAACTTTGTATTCGGTTTTGAAAGTGGATAGAAATGTTAGTTTTGAGGAGTTCGTTATTTTATGTTTCCAGAATTCGATGTATTTTTCTTTCATTTTGTTTACAACTGTCGTAGTGTCATAGTTTAAGATAGCTAGTTCAATATTTAATTCGTTTGGGTAGTAAGGTTTCAGTAGATTAACTGTTTTTGAGTAATATGATTCTTTATGGTTGGTATAAAGATCTTTGGATATGTTTAAGCTTTGTTTCGCAATTGAGTTTTCGGGTAGCTGGTAGATATGTTTAAAATAATTAATTATGTTTTTCTTGATTGTTAAGAGGAGAGGGAATTTACCAAGTTCTCCCCTGCAAGCCACATTTGTTGCTTTTCTGTTTACACCCAAATATAACTTGCAGAATCTTAGATGAACTCTTTCGATTTCTGAGTTCTCCCATTTATTATAGTCGTTTTTTTCGTAAGCACCCCAAATTTCCGAGTTGTACAGTAATATGGGGGAAATGATCGAGTCAAAAATCTTCATTGCAAGTTTTGGTGTTAGTTTGCGAAAGTCAATGTTTTTTCGGATTTTATAAAGTGCATGAAGAGCTTTTTCACCCAGTTGTTGCTGAGCAAGTTTGAATTTTCCGTTTTGTGATATTTTGAGGCCAAGGTAATTGTATTCCTTAGTTGTATCTATTTTTTTGTCTCCAATGTGAAATTGTATCTTGGTCGGTTGGCTGGAGTTACGTTTTTGAAAAATCATAATCTTTGTCTTTTTAGTATTTATCTGCAATAACCAATTTTCACACCATTCATGGAGTTGATCAAGGCAATTTTGAAGACCTGATTTTGATCGGGAGAGTATTACTAGGTCATCTGCGTATAGTAGACTATTTAATTCGGTTCCGTTTGGTAGCATGAAAGGGTCTGATTCGATTTTTTCGAAAAGTTTCGGTATTTCATTGATGTAGATATTAAAGAGTAATGGGCTTAAAGTGCATCCTTGGCGAACACCTTTTTTGTATGGGAAAAAGGGGGTTCGGCTTTCTGAGAGTTTGATCGCACATTTAGTATTAGAGTACATGTCTGTGATAAGATCATAGAAATGTCCTCCTATTTTGTTCTGCAATAATTGATAAAACAGGCCTTGGTGCCATACAGAGTCAAAGGCTTTTTTAAAGTCAACGAAGCATGCGTAAATTTTTTTGTTTTCGTTTTGGTTTATAAATTTGTCGTGTAGAGTTTTCAGTGTGAGTGAGTGATCCGCAGTTCGATTTCCAGGAATAAAACCAATTTGGGATTGATGTATCAGTTTTTTTTCATTTACAAAATCCATTAGTCTAGTGTTTAGGATGGAGCAAAATAGTTTTCCCATGCAGCTAGAGACACATATGCCTCGGTAATTATTGGGATCTAGGGAGTTCCCTGACTTGTAGATCGGAGTTATAAGACCTTCCGTCCAAGTTTCAGGGAATCTTCCAGATTCTAAGATTTTATTAAATACCTTTAAGAAACTTAGTGGAGCTATGTTGGCGCTAAGTTTTATCATTTCATTTCTAATTTTGTCACTATAAACAGCTTTCTTTGATTTTAGTTTTCTAGTTGCGGTGAGTAATTCTTTTTCAGTAATAGTTTTATCTAGGTCATTAAATTGGTCTTTAAATCTTTCAGATTCTTTCAAGAGTTTTATAGTTTCTTCTTGTTTTTCAGTAATAGTGTGTTCCGAATGAAGTGTTTGAAAGTGGTTCAGCCATTGGCTCTGTGATGGTGTTTTCGATCTTTCATTGGGATTAATTTCATCTGTGCTATTTTTAAGAATTTTCCAGAATAGTATAGGATCGTTTGTAGCATTTTCTAGTTGTTCAATTTTATCTTGGTGGAATTTATTCTTCTTTATCTGCAGAGTATTTTTGTAGTCTTTTAGGGCAATGTGATATTCGTTTCTAATTTCGGTATTAGTTGGGTTTCTGTGTTTTTGGTTGGCTAGTTTTCTTAGATGGTGTCTTTTTAATCTACAATCTTTGTCAAACCATTTTTTGTTTGCAACATTATTGATCTGGGATCGGCGTTTCGTTTTTCTTATTTTTAGAGATTTTTTTGATGCTTCAAGTATTATGTTTTGGAATTCGTTTATACATTGGTTCATTCCATCTTTCTCGTCTGAGAAATCATTATTTAAAAAGTTATTGAGTTTGTTTTGGATTTTGTTGGATTTGAGCTCTTGAGTGAAAGCAGCCTCAGAGTCTTTATCCCATATATATTGTGATGGTAATTGTTCTAGTTTGGGTTGTTCAGTACATGTACTATCTATGTTTGTCTTGGGATTGCTGACTGGTTGTAGATCAAACCAAGCAACAACTTGACTGTGGTCAGAAAGATAGTTGGGAGGTTTGACAATGAGGTATTTGGTATTATGTAAAAGGTTTTGGTTACAGATTATATAGTCAATTGTACTTATACCATTTTTTCCATGAAATGTTGGCTGACCTAGTGAGTCACCAAGGGTTCGACCATTTAATATTCTTAGGTCGCAGGTTTTGCATATTTCTATTAGTTTTTTGCCATGATTGTTAATTGAGGTGTCAAAATTTTGTCTGTCTTTTAGATAAAATGAGTTTTCACTGGTGTCAGGAATGTATTCATTCCCTTCATTTGAAACAAAGTCTTCTTGTTTACTGGTTCTAGCATTAAAGTCACCTAGAGCTATGACATTTGCTTTTGAGGAAAAATGGATTATATCATTTTCAAATTCTTCAAATATTTCTGGGTCAAAATATTTTGACTTTTCAGGGGGTATGTATGTGCCACAGACATACAGGTCTGTATCACTACTTAATATTTCTTTGGAGATTTTGCTCCATATAAAATTTTTAGTATTTTTCACAATGGAAACAAAGTTTTTAAATTTACTTTTGAATATCAGGCTGATGCCACCTGATTGTCGGCATGCATATTTGGATTTGGGTTTTGCCAAGTTAGAGTTAATAGTCTCATATCCGGGTATGTTTATATCTTGGTTATTCCATGTTTCGGTAAGAAACATAAAATCAATATTTGAAATGGCTTCAACAAAATCCTTGTTTTTAGTTTTATCACCAAGGACCTTGTTGATAAGCCCATGTATATTCCATGTGCTGAAAGTGATTTCCGAAAACATTTTTCTTTGATATCTGATTATATGATTATATGGTAGAGATGACGGAAGGCAAATGAGTCCAAATTGTTTTCCTAGTTATGTGGTAAAATTAATTTCCTAGTTATGTGGTTGATTAGTGGAAATAAATACTGATATATATTGAGAGTTATGTGTGAGTAGAAAAAAACAACAAAAACTACCTTACAGTTTACAGCTTGGTTAGTTGATATATCTGGTGAGTTCTTTGATGAGTTGCATCAACTGTCTTGGTATAGTCTTCTCAGTATTGGTCCAGGTGGGATGAGGGTTTTTTGGATCTGGTTGTGGTGGATGTAGTGTTGTCTGAGGAATAGGGTGGACGTTCGGGTAATGGCGGGTAGTAGATGGTGGTAGTTGGGTTTGGGAGTTTTGTATGGTTGGATGGGGAAAGTATTGGTATGGTTGAGGACGAGGGTAATATCTGAGGTCAGTATTCGAAGAAAAGGGGAATCTCTTTATTGGTGGCTTGACTGGTTTTGGTGTGGTGTTAAAGAAGGTGGCTTTAAGATTTTTTGCAAAGCACTTTACTCCTTTTGGTGTTAAGTGTTTTCTGTCTTTTAGGTCATGTGGTGTTATATTATTGTGTTCTACTAGGGCTGTGTGTGCTATATCTTTAAATTCTTTCTGAATTGTTTCATTGAGGGAGTTTACTGCTCCGTTGAGTTTATCTGCTCGTGGTAGGAGTAATGATATTATCACTCGGGATTGAGGGTATTTCTTGTGGAGTTGGTTTTCCAAGGTCTTGAGCTTTACTAGGATTTGACTGGCATCTATCTGTTCAAGGTCATTTGTGCCGCAGTGGATGATGAAGGTCTTGGCTTTTGGAAATTGTATTTCGTTTATAATGTTGATGCCATTTGTGAGAGTGGGGCATCGTATGTAATATGTTGGTGTATCCGGGCATAGGACGGATGGCTTTAGATCTCTGCCATTGCTGTCACACAGAATTATAGTTTCGGCATTGACCAATTTCTTGTTGGTAGGTTGTGTGTTAGTGGGCTCTTCTGTTGGTGATGGGGTGTTGATGGGGTTTTCTGTTGGTGGTGTGTTGGGGGAAGTGTTTTCTTTTGTGGGGGTATTTGAGGTAGGTGGGGTGTTTGTTTCGGATAAGGGTTCAAAGCGGTTTGCTGTGGGGATGGTACAATTTAAGATTGTGTGGGTAGGTGGTGGTTGGGTTTCCTTGTCCGGTGAGGTACTTTTAGCTGCTGCTATTTCCTTTACTGCGAGTTTTTTGCTTTTCTCTCTTTCATTTTTGTGTTCGCTTCGTAAATGTTTGATGCTTTCTTCTATTTCTAGTTGTTTCAGACTGAGATCACTGAGTGTTTGTTGTTGATTGTTGTTTGTTGTTTTTAGATTGGTTATTTCTTGCTTCAACATTGCTATTTCGTTATCTTTCTTCTCTAATGTTTTATATAGTTCTTCTAACTTTGTATTGGCGTCTATTTTGTATGTGACAAACTCTGACTCTAGATTCGCAATAATGTTTTTCAGCATCGAGAATGACTTTTCTCCTGAGAAATTGTCCGTTTCAAAGTTGACATCGGTGGAATTGTTATCCGGGGTAGAAGTTGTGCTTTGTGAGGTTTCTTTTCTCTTTAAGATTCTGTTTGAGAATACCTTAGTGTTTTCGTTGGCTTCCTCATCATTGTTTACAATGGCACGTACGTGGTCGAATTCGTCGTTTCCCCAGGCTTTCGTGAACCGGCCTTGTATTTGAATTCTTCCTTTGGTTACAAAGATTGTGATTGTTAATACGTTTTCGTTTTTGTGAAGGATTTCAATCGAGATTTCTTCGCATTTTGATGTGTTGCTTGCGTCGTTTTGCTCTGTCCATTTTGTCTCAAGTTCGTTGTTTATGTCGTTGAAGATTTCGTTTCGATAGTATCGATGGTATACGGCTTCAATCCATAGAGGAAGCCTTAACTCAGTCGTTTGAAATGCTACAAGATTGGGTTTTTTGTATATTCCAAAATCCAGCTCTTCGTGTGGAACTTTCTTGTAGTTATTCGTGGTGAAGCTCTTTATCTCGTATCGTTCACGTTTGAATGTAATAGCGTCCATGTTATTTTGCTTTGTCGGTAATGCGCTCGATCAAAATTTAAAAATAAATCCTGTTTTCCTTTTTGTTTTACTAAGAAAAGTAGATCCAAGTGTGCCTTTGGAGTTTAGAAAACGATTCACGGTTTGTCTAGCGGTTCTCTACCATAAAAATCAAGAAAATATTTAGCAAAAATCGTTAGCTTCGCTGAACACGTGTGAAGCCGCCATCTTGAAATATATGATTACACATCACACAACTTATCTGAATCCAGATCCTCCATTCAATTGACAAATAAATTTATTGTTGAACTCTTCAAATTCCTTCATCGTGGCAAATATGTGGGTTTCTGACCGGTCTTCGTCTTTTTTAAGCAAAACTTTGCCTTGTCTAGTCCAAACAAATTTATAATGATTCCTTCTTTTGAATTCTTTGGCTTTGTTAAGAATAGCACGGGATCCTGCGGTAAGGCTTTCATTAATATACAGCTTGGAATTATGATGGAAGCCGATATCCTGAGAAGTTTTTGAACTAAGATTACGCTTTTTCTTGTATATTGCATCGCGAGTATCGCGCCTGACGAACTTGGCGATGATCGGTTTAAGGCTTTCTTTATTTGTAGGCAAGCGATGACTTGTCGATATGTCTGCTTCAGTGAGATATAGTTCTGGGACGATCAAATTCGCAACTTGTACTACAAGTTTATTAGTATTCTCGGTTGAGCTTTCAGGGACTCCGTGTATTTCTAACAAATCCCGACGCAAATAACGCTTCATATTCTCGGTTTCGATGTCTAGAGAAATGTGTTGTTTCTCTAAGGAAACGACTCGATTTTGTAGCTGGGTGTTGGCTATGCGAAGCTCTTTATTCTCGTTTTTTAACTGATTTGTCGAGGCAGCCAGCTCATCAAACTTTATGGAGAGAAACTCCTGGCTTTGCCTTATAGATTCCAATTCCGATTTAGTTGTATCAGTGAATTTCAGGAAAAGATCGTTAATTTGGGCCAGTTGCAGTTTCAATCGGCTATCGAGTAGATCTTCTAGACCAGAAGGAAGGGACGCCATGTTGGCTTTCTCGTCCAAAACTGTGTCTTCGACAATTTCAATCGTTGACTCACTATTTACTGGTTTCTTCTTCTTGGGGGGCATTATTTTACACCTCTATATTTCATACGTGTAATATAGAAGACAGAGAAGTCAAAACTCGCTCAAATTAAAATAATTTTACAGACATTACAGGAGCTCAAAACTATACGTCCGTCCATCACCGTCCATCATCAAGGCCAGCGAACAAAATTTTTCGACTTTCGGTGCCTTGTTGTCTATTTAAATGCAGCTATATTTATTTGGCGTTGAAGGGAACTCATTTAATGAAAGTTTTATTGCTTGTTTTCGAGCTATATAACAGAAAAAAGAAGGAAAAAAACAGAAAACGTAACCTCTGAGCACTGACACAGGTCTGCATAAAATATGGCAAAGTCATGGCATTATTTAATGGGCAAGTGACTCAAAGTGAGCTCGGTACGTCAAGAGCTAGAGAAGTCATAAAGTAAGTTTCCATGTTTATTTGGTGTCAAAAAAGGGACTTCTAAACAGTATATTTGTCCATTTCTATCACAATAGCAATCCCTTTAATATGAAATACACATTGTTTTGTCTTCAAACTTTGAGTTTATCCGCCGGATAGTGGATTTAAACTACCTCCGGACCTTGGATAAATTTATCCAACGGATAGTGCATTTTATCCGTTGGATAGCGCTATCCAAGCTTCGTACAACGCGATTTTCACTCCGGATAAAATTTATCCACTGGATAGGGACTTATCCACCGGATAGCGATTTATCCACCTTTCGTACAACCGGCCCCTGGGAATTTAAAATAGCACAACTGTCAAAATTACTGCACACGCGAGTGCATAAAGCAAAATTTATGCATTTATTTAATGCACCACAACAGTAATATGATCTATTAGCAATTCGATTTCAATTCCAAAGACTTGCAAAGTGATTTCTTAGGAAATTCCGAGGTTGCGTTTTTTTTTATACACCCTGTATAATTTTATAATATGAATTTTAATACACGTACATGCCCTTGAACAAATTTCTGCATATTTTGACAAGGCCCACCCTTATGATTGCTATTAACTTTCGATGACCCACCCCTTCAACCATGCTAAAAAATAGTGACCAACCCTCTATTTTTCCCATCCCGTCCCCACTTTTACTTTCTGACTGGCCCCTGAAAGGTATAAATGCATATGCTCTTATACTTGTAAATATAAAAGCGATCACGTTGTCTAAAATAAGTCAATCATATAAATTTGGACAAAAAATGTAAATAATATTACAGAATAAATTGCTCATTGCGTTTATTGATGTTATGGGGATGGACAGTGCTGAGCTTGAGAATGAGGCGCATTTCATGTTTTTTGCTCACATATTTGCTACTAGAAACCAGGCAGAGGGCTCAAACAGATCAACCGGTGCTGTATATTTTACGTGTAGGACAGTGGTGATTGTGTTGCTTAATTCTCCCGTTGTCGAACCAAATATGACCCATCCCAATGGGGATCTTCTGGCGACTAGGTGGTCGGCTTGCTTTGTTTGATCGGTGTGCATGTGTGCATGATCAATCCCGATGAGCAGATCGACATGTCCTTTGCCTCGTCTAACTACTTGGTCTTTTGGTAGGCCAAGTATCTCAATGATAGTTCCGGTTTGAGCACTTTTAACTTCCTCGCTAATACATGGAATACCAATTGCTCTCACAGAATGTTTCTTTGGGTCACCGATTCCGCTTACTGGTACTTTGTAAATTTTCGTATGAATTAATTCCTCTTCTCCGCCTGTTTTGATTATGTTCACTGAGATGTCTCTCCCTTTCAGTCCGAGGCTGTCTGCTGTTTCGCTCCGTATTAAACTTATCTGCGCTCCTGAATCCAGTATGACGTTTCCACGCTTGTACAACCCGTTTGGACCGCAGATGGTGGCTGGTAACAGATGCTAAAGTGACACCCACTGCGCTCGATTTATGTAGCAAAGGATAGTGGCTGAAGGTACACTGGCTTCCGTTCTCAACTTTGTTGCATTGCTTTCGCCGACTGCAGTTTGCTTGACGATTATCTCGAACCCGCTTTCTTTAAGCAGCTGAAACAAACGTGATTCTGTTTCGCCACCACGAGTCGCTCTTCAACACTCATTGCTGCAATCTTCTGACACTGGTCTGGCCAATGACTTGAGTTGTTACACAGCGAACACTTGTTTCCACTCTTATTCCCGCCTTCGATTTCGCCGTGCAAGCGATTGATTTTGCGTCGATTTGTTAAACCACTTCTAACTGGAGCTGTCGCACGCATGCGCGACTTCATCTCGCACGTTATCCACGTCATCAAAGCATTCAGTGTTGCTGGTTTTCGCTCTCTTTCTAAATCTCTTGACCAAACTTTTCGATCATCTGGGCAAATCTTTTGTTCAATTATTGATAGCATGTGGCTGTTGTCCATGTCGCTCGGAACGCCAACCTCTTTTAGCGTGTTATAGCTACGTCTCACCAAATGAACAAGGTCGCAGAAACGCACATCTTCGCCTTCTTCTAACGGTTTAAATTTTGCTATGTCCTGAGTAATGGTGTCAGAAACAAACCGCGGGTCCCCGTATATTGAATCTAAATATTCCCATGCCGCGTCATAGTCGGAACCAATTCCCTTTATTAGCTCAAGCGGCTTTTCTTTCAGACAAGTACGTAGCAATGATATCGCGTCTCTTTTCGAATATCTTGATTCGATCGCGTGCTTGAAATCTGCGCGAAAAATTGCATATTCCCGCACGTCACCACAAAATTTGGGCAATTTGGTTTTTCCATTAGGAAACCACATGGGGTTGAATTATAAGCAGGTCCTGCTTCACTACTAACTTCTGGTTGGGACTCGCTTTGGCTTGCGTTTTGTTCAAGATTATTTTGTAGAAACTCAGGTGGGATGCTGACCGATTCGATAGAAACTTCGTCATTAATGCTAGGATTTTCCTGGGGCGTCGAAATGTCAATCACATTGTTTTCATTGCTGATACATGGCTCGGAAATTTCAGGGCTCGTATTACTTGCGCTCGGTGTGTTTTGCATTCCAATCATTCCTAAGGAATTTTGCGGGTTTTTCTCAAGGCTACTTTTGCTAATTTTCGCAGAAACATTTTCTATATAACACTTTGCATCGATATCAAGTTTTAAGAAGAATGTTTGACATTCATCCAACCACTGTTCTTCCTGTTCAAACTCTTCATCTTGGTCAATTAAATTTGCATATAGCTCGTGTTTTGAAACCACGTTATCAAAGGCTTGTTCTACTTTAATGAGGTAATCGCTTACCTCTTCAGCCGGTCTTTCGTTCTCGCACAGATGATTCAGCGCTTTTCCCAGTCTTGTCAACGCAGCCTTTGCGGATGGACGCTGTATCTTGGCTGCCTTCAACGCCTCGCTTGATTCACTCATAGTATAAATCCAGAATTTCCACCAGTATTTGTTCGCCAGAAATCGAATGTTGTGGATTATCAGGGTAAATAAACTTCCCGGTCAGATCGCGAGACACGGAACCGTATAAATCAATGAATATTGATAGGTTTTTATTCGATCTAGTAAGTAATTATAAGAAATGACAATTGTAAGTATAGAATAACAAATAGTGCCTGATATATACCTGTGCGCACTCTTCGAGTTATATACCGCATAATTTCAATAAATGAGACTTACTTCTTTGCCAGGTCTTCGCAATCTAGTCTTACTGATACTGAATATACAAATACACATACAAATACAGGTTAGCTTCAACACAGGTTAGCATATCTCCTTCATTTAACACTATACGTCTCTGTCTCAAGCTATCTGAATATAAATGTGCGTCAAATTACGTGTCAATCGGGTTAATCTCATTAGTCATGCATTACTATATTTAGTTAATAATTATCCCGCAAAATATATAAAGTTCTGTCAGCGACACAATGCCATTAGTAATGATGCCAACTAACAAATTAACAAACATTTTAAAAACGGCGCCGCTATTAAAATGTCTAGCAACTAGTTGGTTTGCATCATTACTAATACCATTCTGTTCATTCCTACCTACTCGAGACTTCTGTTCCATATCTGGAATGATGAAACGCGCTACATTTCCACGGAACGAAGGTACTGTCCATCCCTATGGTATCAATTTACGCTTTTCTTATGTTTAGCTATATTTGTCATTGCCTAACTTTAATTCTCAACTCATTCCTTACTTGTTCCATACCCTTCAATATGTTTTTTAATTATTCCGCAGCGTCTTTTCCTTTTCCTTAGTAATATTTTCTGTCATGGTCATATGATTTACATTTTTGCTTGCAGTTTGTTTGCCCAAATCCATCAGATTGGCCTATTTTTTGTCACGTAGACGCTTTTATATCCAGTAGCATAATATTATAAAAGCATGTGTATTTTTGTAGATTTACTGATCGGTAGTTGAATTCTTCTCAATCCAGTATGTCTGTCTGTCAAACGAACCAAACATGACTTTCAGAATTTTTTTGTGTAAGCGAGAAGCGTTGCGTGTTGGTAAGAATAATTTCATCAACCACGCCAAGTTCGATTTCGATTTCGAAACCTATAGCCCCATTCAGCGTATCTTCTCTTGTCTTTCGCTGATTTTGGCAACAATTAATAAGCTGCTGAGAGCCTGCATTAGTTATTAAATTGGTAGATTGCATAGTTAGCGCGTTTGATGCCATTGTTGGTTCGTTCCGCGCTGCTTGTTAATTGACAAGTTCGTTCGTTCATTCGTTCCTTCGTTCGTTTGTTGAATCGTTGGTGGGTCATTACGTCTTTTAATTTGTTTCCGTGATTGGTTATTTTGTTTCTTCGCTGGTCGGTCCGGCAGCTACCTACGTTGTTTATTGTCTGTTGAATAGCCTTTTCGTTATTTGTTACTTTCTTGCGATACATCATCAGTGGTGTAGCCAGCCCGACAATATATATAGTTCCGCTATGCAAATTCAAAATTACTATCATTATTCATTTCTTTAGAAACTGATTGTTTTCACAGTCAATGAACTCGAAAATATTTGCATAGCGGGAATAAATCGTCGGGCTGGCTATGTTACTGTACATCTTTGTTAACCCATTTTTAAAAAATATTTTGTTTCTGACTGCAGTTGGTGCCAGGGTGTTCGCCCGCTGGACAAATGGGTTATACTACAAAAGTTTCGTCAGCAAGTCCAGTTTGTCGTCAGTCTCAGTAACGTATGATGACGGAGCCAAAATTACTCTTCCAAAGAATGACAAAGCTGCCGTTATCCTTGACAAAATCCCAGAAGAGGACCAGGTCAAGATAGACCAGAGGGTGATTGCTTATTGGCCAAGCCAAGTGAGATACTACCCAGCGTATATCTCACAATTCTGCGAAGACGGAAACAAGTATTTGGCTAAGTTTGACGATGGAAGCGAACGTTGTCAAGCGATTTACGAGATACGCATCGTTCCCTAGTTACGTTTTGTCAGAAAATGACGCATCCTGACACTTTATATCAATTAAATAATATTGCATTTTGCTTGAATTAGTAGACTCGGTTTGCTTCAGCATTGAGCTTCAAACTTTGAAAACATTTCTAGTCATAATTATTGTTTTGTAACATTATCTTGGCTTAATTAATTGATAAATGCATTTTAATTTGTTAGTTTCCGCCAATTATTTGGTAGGAATTTTTCAGGATTAACAGTTGCTGAGTAAGATTATTGAACAAAAATTATCTGATTTTCCAGTGGATTTTTTCTAGTTCTAGTGGCGAATTTTATCAACCAATTTTTTGCTACTACGGTGTAGCTATACGTACTGACCTAGAGACTGCAGTAAATTCTGATTTAGAGAACCTTAGAAAATGGTTAATAGCCAATAAACTTAGCCTCAATGTAGCTAAGACAGAGTTTATGCTGATTGGCTCTAAACCTATGATCAAAAATATTTCTGATTCTTGCCCAAATGTTTACATTGAAAATATACAAATTAAACAAGTTCATGAATGCAAAACTCTAGGAGTAACAATTGACAAGCATTTATCTTGGAAAAGTAATACCGAAAATATCTGCAAAAAAGTTACAGCAGGAATCTCTGCTATTCGTCGGATCAAACCATTTGTTAATGATCAAGATACACTTATTTTGATAGTATAACACTATTGTTCGTCCGTACTTTGACTACTGCTGTGAAGTATGGGATGTATTCGGCGAAATAAATCAAAACGACTGCAAAAACTGCAAAATAGAGCGGCAAGAATTATTCTGAATATAAGCAATGACGTAGATTATACGATTGCGTTACTCCACTCCAAACTGAAAGGAAGAAAACTAAAGCAAGAATGATGTATAAGTTATTAAACAAAATGGGTCCAAAATCACTAACAAATCTATTTTCGTTTAAGAGTGAGAAAACTAATTACCACCTTCGGGATGTCTCAAGTGGTCTTTATTTACCAAAACCACGTACAAATAGCATGAAAAATAGTTTTGTACGACGGAACAAACATTTGCAAATCTATACCAAAAGAAATTAGGGAAAGCAAGTCACTGTCTTCCTTTCGAAATAAAATCGCTGCTCATGCACATTAGTGCTTGGTAACCTTTGTAAATATAACTTACCTGTAAATAGCTCAAAACATTTGTTATATCTTTAAAATGTATATATTACTGTAATAGCTTAGCTTATCCTTATCATATTCTGCATGTAAAATATTTTCTGGCACACGCCCCCCGTGGAAATCAGCTACGGTTGACGGGGTCAGCGTGGATAAATAATATTCTACTACTTCTACTATTAATTGTGTAGAAGCGAGCGAGTAGCGAGATTTACAAGAGCGTGGTTGTTTATACTGGCGAGATTAATGCATGAAATGTCACATATACTGAAGGGTCGGGTAAGGGCCAGGCAATATGTAGCATAAACGTGCATTTATGTGTCGCGCAGCTGCATAGTAACAACAGTATTAATTGACGCAATTAATATGCACGCCATATATATTTTAAAAAGGCACGATAAATAAGAATGACAAAACATGGTGGCCATGAGCAAACTACATACGTGTAGTTGCGTTGTACCCACAGCAGGTCTGCTTGCATCAGCCAGCAATGCCCCTGTACTTACAATCGAAGGGGCTCCTATCAAACAGGTGAAATTAGCCAAGTCTCTGGGCCTTCACATTGATGAGCATCTTTCATGGTCTGTTCATGTTCATGTTCATGTTGATGCCATTTCCAAAAAAATTGCCTCTGGCATCGGTGCGCTAAATCGCATCAGGCCTTTTGTTCCTCGTACAACTCTGCATACTATTTTTCATTCACTAATTCAACCACATTTTAGTGACTATTGCAGTGTTGTGTGGGGAATTGTAATAAAACTCTTGCCACAAAAATGCAGAAGTTACAAAACCGTTCGGCTAGGGTTTTAACCACTGATCTAATAGTAGACTGGATATAGCTTCTCTAGGTGTGAAAAGTGAAGCCAAATTATATATGCGAAAATCACTTCCGGGGACCACGGAGTGATACAAATTACTATAGAAATGTATGGCGAACAACGTGAACCAAGGTGAATTTTCCCGAATTTGAGATACTTTGCGAAGTTTTACCATGCTGATCGCTCCACCGTGGGTAAAAGATGTTATGTTAACGCTTTTAAAACGAAAATTATCCAGATTGCCCTAAAATATTGTCAGTTTTGTTCGTTCAAAGTTGTCCATGCGGGAATAATATTTTATCGCCACAGTGGTATGACAGCACAATTTCTAGTTTGCTTTACAATTACGGAGAGAGAATATGATCTACTATACTCAAGCATACTTTTAAAGGAAAGTTGGTAGTTCATTTTATCATTTATGTTTAACTTTGATCGACCAGAGGGTTTCAAATTTTCAATTATCCATCTTACTATAGCCTTTTTACAAAATATATAGACATGTCTTAGTTGGTACTATAAAAGATATTTGTACTTTTTTATTTGTTATTCTGTTAAACTGGAAGGCAACCTTAATGAAGTTTTCTGTAGAGTGAATCTACTTTAATAGTGAAGTTGAATTTTGAATTAGAACAACAAAATTGATTTAAAATGTGGGGTGTATTTATCATTCAATATCTAATTGAGTATAAATATAAGAACAAATATAAAATATATTCAAAATTAATTTGAAATAATAATCTGCTTAATTAAACCTCAACCACTGATGGACTCAACTCATTGATACCAAAGTAAAATTGTCAGGCAACTATAGGCAGTGTGATTTTCTGACAATAGAAGATAAAATATACATGCTTTTTTAGGTTGCCTTGGCCAATTATTGATGAAATTATCTCTTATTTAAGTTTCTAATTGCCTATACTTCAAAAGCATGGTTTCCATGACCAGTTGTGCTGTTTCGACAATGTCAAGAAACCCCAGGTGACAAAACACAACATTTGAACCAAGGCATGAGAAAGTCCGGCAGCATGCTGCCAGGAAATTTTTTTAATCTCACAGGAATTTTTTAAGGAAAAGCAAGATATCAAGAATGAAGCTCGAGAAATTTCTCTCTGAGAGCAATAAGCGCAGAAGCCCTGGGTACGAGGTTGAAATCAGCATTAAAGTCATCCTGGGTACGAGGTTGCATTAAAGTAACAAACATCACAATTAGAGCATAAATACAACAATCATAAACATAAAAATTTGTATCATGTGGCAGTGCTATATATGACTGTCTGTTAGCATGATTCATGATTATGATACATGTGGAAAACAAGGGCGTACTACTATTATTGAATAGTGCATGAATACTGATATAAATTCAGATTTACAATCTGAAAACAAAGTTCAAATATTGTTTCATAGAATTGCTTCATGTTCCTAAACCTATATTTTTCTTAATATTGAGATAGTATATGACTAATTAGTAAGGTAGTTAGTATTTTTGCACAAGGGAAAATAACAAATCCTACATGTTGATTGGTCAAATCTTTGTCTCAGTGAATATTCCCCGACTAATCACCTCGCCTTCAGTGAATAATTGTTAAATACGTAATGCTGTTATTGAATTACAACCAAAATTCAAATTTATAAAAAAAATTGGCAGGAGATTTTTGGTCTGGGAAGTCTGCTGCCAGGAAGAAAAATATTTTATCATTAGGCTTGATTTGAACTGCAACCAGTGTTTCTTTTTGAATATCCCTGGGATTGGGGTGTGCATAAACCCACAGGCACATGTATAGGGTGTCCCAATAAATGTCCCCTCTGTTGTTGGTTAAGTACTATAAAACCTGGTTTCCATATGGTCGTAAAGATTGAGTCAAAATCTTTCTCATCAGCCGAAATGCAACATTTTAGAACTGAAAATATGCAGAGTGATTAAAACTAGTGAATAGTTATGATTTATATGTGGTTTATATGTATAAACTACTATATACTGACTGTTGAGAAAATTGTGACTCTATTTTTATGACCGTTATGACCATATGGAAACCAGGCTTTACTCATAGTAATTAACCAACAACAGAGGGGACATTTTTTGGGACACCATATATATGCTGGGAGTTTGGTGGAAAAGCACCAATGGATATTTTACAATAGCAAACGTTTATATATAAATGAATGATCAAAATTAATGAACAATACACTCTGCCTCTCAGCCTCTGGAGTCTCTGCACTATAAGAACAATAAATTACACTCTGCAACTGAAAGTTCAACATTCAACTGCAATGTAAAAGTAATTCACTCTTACTACAGAAAGCTTCAATAAGATTGTCTTCCAGTTTAACAGAATAAAAAATAAAAACAAGTACTAAAAGTACAAATATATTTATTACATATCTTTAGAATTGTTTAATAATTGAAAACATCTACTGACTACTGTATATACATTTTGTGAAAAGGCTTATTTTAAGATGGATAATTGAAAGTTTGAAACCTTCTGGTCGATCAAGGTTAAACATAAATGATAAATGAACCACTTACTTCCCTTTAAAAGTTTGCTTGATCATATTCTGTCTCCGTAATTGGAAAGCAAACTAGAAATTTTGCTGTCATACCACTGTGGCGATAAAATATTATTCCCGCATGGACAACTTTGAATGACCAAAACTGACGATATTTTAGGGCAATCTGGATAATTTTCGTTTTAAAAGCATTAACATAACATCTTTTACCCACGGTGGAGCGATCAGCTTGGTAAAACTTCGCAAAGTATCTCAAATTCGGGAAAATTCACCTTGGTTCACGTTGTTCGCCATACATTTCTATAGTAATTTGTATCACTCCGTGGTCCCCGGAAGTGATTTTCGCATATATAATTTGGCTTCACTTTTCACACCTAGAGAAGCTATATCCAGTCTACTATTAGATCAGTGGTTTTAACATTTTCCGGCTATCATACTAATGCTGATGGTCTTTTTCAAGACCTTGGATAGGAAAACCTTGAAACACAGCGCCAAATTCATCAGGCTATTATGGTCTATAAGTCGATAAATGGTTTGGCTCCTGAATATCTTCGTCCAAAATCTGTTGATCGCAGCTGTGTTTCGGGTTATTCTCATATCTTAGGGACACTGTTGGCAAACTTGCTGTTCCTTTTCCTCGTACTAACTACCTAAGAAATCCCTTTAGTTATAGTGGTGCAGTAACATAGAACAGCCTTTCTGTTGAGTTGAGGCAAGCTAATTATCTAAATTCGTTTCGATCTGGCTGTAATAAATTTCTCTCTTCTCGATCGTAATATACCTAATTAATGCACGGCACTCATTTAAAGCAGGTTTTTCTTTGCCATTTCTTAGTATGTATTCATATATTGTGTTATTTATATTGTAAGTAGTGTGTTATCAGTTTTATGCATAATTCTGTAGATTTATTTACTATACGCTACTATATTACTGCAGTACGGCCTTACTAACCACTACTCATATTACTTAAGAAATAGAAAATATTTTCCTTGTTTCTATAAAATTATAGAAACACGCGTGAAAGTTTGGGAGAAGCGAGAAAACACTCAAATATTAATTCCACCTTAAAATACGTTCGTGTAAAGAATAATTATAAAAGCATAGCGAAGTAAACAAGTATATCGCTGTCAAAACAACAGACAGCACTTAATTAACATCTCACAGATGAAACAGAACTATGGCCAGACGTTCTTAATTATAGTTCATAACTGAATATTTGTATGACAACTGCACATTTACATATATCTGAAGTGTAATGCTGCGAAAATGTTCCCATAATATAGCCTATACTGTATACTAATTAGTCATTGCAAATCATTGCGTGATATCAATTACAAATCAAAGTCATGATGTTTGATGATATTGAAGAACATTACTTACACTACCCGTCACTGCCACGTATTGAAGTTTGTTATAAATGCTGCATATAAAAATATGGTTCCTTCTCAACGGTAATTGTAATAGACATGGATATAATTTAACACTATAATTATTATATACGCCACCATAATCAATGTAATTTACTTTTTGAAATTAAGAATCAAGAAAAAAATTGTCAACACATTCTACGCCAAATCTCTTACATAGATTATTATTGGTGACTATATGCATGGTGTTTTGTGTACTATACTATACTTTTTAGGCCTGGCAAACTGTACATTGCGTAGGCGCATTTACACTATAAATACCTTACGTAAGTCTTAGGTCAGTTGTGTTATGTAAAAACACCGCCGCCAATCTTTGGTAAATGAGTGAGGTGTAGTGGACTGGAACACAGGCTAAATTCGCTCCTG